AAGCCACCTGTCACCCTGCTGGAAGCGGCGGCCGGAGGCAGGAGGCTGAAGAGTCTGTGTGCAGGACGAGCCGTGTCCTTCGCGATGTTTCGAGCCCTTAAGCCTAGCGTACATCGGACTGGCAACTGATTATATTCGTCGCATATGAGTTGCTGCCCCGCACACATCGACAATCTGACGAAAACGGGCAACTCCCAGTCGCAGACCAGTCTCGGGAATAACAGCGCGTACATCGACAGCAACTGGCCTCAACTACAGTGTGTTTTCTGACATAAACTGTTGCGGGCTCGCAATACACGCAATACACACACGTTGTCGGAGCGGCGCATGGAGCGCGCACATCGGGTCATATCTCCGAAACTGAGGACAACTAGTTGCCGAAAAGTAGAACACGGGCAACTGACTGAAACTGGAGACCGACTGATCATCTCCAGTTGTAAGAGCGCTCACATCGACCGATTTTGGCAACTGATCATCTCCCACCATTCTACTCTCAGTTGCCAAAAGCCGCCTTGCAACTAGTTGTCCCCAGTTTCTCTGTCGATGTACGCTAGGCTTTAGCAGAGTGCGATTGCTCCCATACTCTCCAAGCCAGTGAGTGGAGCTCCCATAATGCACTGGGCTGTTAACACCTGCTGTGACCCACTCTCCGCCACACAGTTCTCAAATCAGGTCCTTCCGCAGTTTGTTAAAATGCCTACATCTTGTTTTTGAGAAGTTTCTCAACATTGCACCAAATGACAAAGACAGTAAAGTAAAGCAGACAAGGGTTATCGCCAGCATTTTCTGAGCGTCCGGGACTATGATTTTTTTTTTTTTAACTAGATGCTTTGATTTCAACAGCATCGGCAGGATTTTATGTTTTGGCTCAGATCCATTGGCCACGTTTCTAGTAGATAAATATGTCAAAAACGGTCGTGCAAAGGCTCCTTGTGATTGTATTTGGACTTGAAGGCGTCTCACTCCACTCACCCGAGCAGAATGATGGCAGCCCAGCCAGAAGAAACATCCAAAGTGTATAAACACCAGTGTGTGTATGTCTGCGTGTGTAGCTAGTATATTGTAAAGTGTCCTTGGGTGTTTTGAAAGGCGCCATGAAATAAAATGAAAAATGATTATTAATATTATTATTATTATGTGAAGCCCCAGGTCCTGGTTCACTCACAAAGCACACACACCAAACAGATTATTCAAATATTGTCAGATTTGCTCCTGTCTGCTTAGCTATGACACCTACACGAGTATTACATCTACAATTGTCGTTATGGATGGCAAACAAGTCCACGCAAGTTTTTGGGTGAAGGGGAAGAATTCATAACAAGATGGCATACAAAACTAACTCAAGTCTAACCTAATTTTGATAGCACATTTCCAACAACACCAGCTGCTGCTTTTGTGCTTCACATGCACAAAAGTTACTACGAAGCAGAAGAAAAACATGAAATACACACTTTATAAACTATAAAACAAAGAATTCAGTTTCATTTTCATTTTCTGATTTCTCCATGAGTTTTGATTTGAGAACCGGACACATTCAGAGCTCATGCTGTCGCTAGTACTGTGCTGTCAACTCTAAACAATGTGGCAAAAAGTAAAATAATCCACTACTGCATCTTGACAAATACATAACTTTACATTCTGTTCAATACATGCAAAAAAAACAGATCTAAAAGAAAATACACTTCGCTTATCTCCCACCATCTCAACCCCCCAGCTGCCATTCCTGAACGCTGATATCATAAACATATTCTTTTCCGGCCGAGCAGTGAATATGAATGACTGGGTTACGATCCAATGCGAGAAAGCACATGCCGGACGTGTGGGGCCCATAACCAGTGGATTTATGGATCATGTAAAGTAAAGTGCTTGTGCCCGGACACTTAATGGAACTGACGTAAAAGCAGTCTCTGAAAAAACCCGCGTTTCGGGACATAAATGTTCCTGGGCGGAAGCCGGCGAGGGCCATAACATGTCATGCAATACAGGTCCATTTTAGCTACACGTTTTTTTTGATCTGCATTCAGTGATTGAGTCTGGCCCGAAAGAATGAAAAACCTGTACGTCAGTCTGGATTTCTGTGGTAACTTCAGCAATGACCACTGCCTTCTCCATTTCTTAATTTTCTGGCCAAAATTTATGTAGGGTATTTTTCTGTTCTTTTAATACCCTTATTTGTTAACGTTTTTTACATATGTGGTTTCATTAGAGCAGGCATGTGGGCCAATTTCAAACCATTTTTAGTGGCCCCTAAAATGATATTCTATTATTATTATTAACTTTCAGTAACCAAGGCATCTTATTTTCTATTGTTTAAATGTTTATATTCAAGAAGTTAAATATAGAGTAATTCATATTACTTTATATTTGGTCTAGTTTTGGTTAAATCTAAACAATGAACTCATTTTGTTTTCAGAAAAATCAACCATAAAATTATAATGAAACTCACGCCACATAAATGGTCAAAATACCTTCATAATGTAAAAAAAAACAATTATATTTCAGCCCCTGACCAAAATGAGTCTAACACCCCTGTCTTAGAGGGTCCATGCATTGCAGGTTTGAGTCCTGTTGTGACCTGGGTCTTTCTGTTTGGGTGGGTTTGCTCCAGGCGCTCCGGTTAACATGCACCAACCACAGGGAAAATGACCATGGTTGCCCTCGTCACATTTTAGCACGGGTACTATGCAGAGAGCAAATGTGCCTACAAGGACAATAAACTTTACTTTAAAGTTGCATTATCTAACTTTTTATCTGGAAAAAATATCTTCTGATCTTTCAGTGACCAAGCAGTTGTGTGAGTGGTCAACATGGTGCCTTTCCATCACAGTGGTCTGCAGGATGCTATAGGATCAAATGTTTGGAAGGTTTTCTCTACTGTCGGACACCTCAACTGTTGATCCTGGAGCAATGTAGACACAGTAAAGCAAGATACTGACCATTCTCACAGACACAGGGCGCTAGAATGGGCAGTGGGTACATTTATTTATTTGACAGGGACAGTAGAATACAACATTTCCACCAAAAGGTAACCGATGTCTGAGTACATAGGACTTAAAGATGCTATACCTGATTTATGTTTTTATGAGTTCATGCTTATTACGACATAAAAGTTGTATTATAATCCGTAATTTAATTGAAAACTCGAGCTCATTGATTCAGCTGTGTATGAATTCAGTAGAGACTTAGCATGACTCCCGCTCACCTCCACTCACAGAACTAGGCCGTGTCCTCTATCCTCTACAGCGCTGCTAAACACAGTAGCATGTATGTTAGCAGAATTGGCTATAGCTCCTCTGGCTGTAACTGCAGACACAGCAAAACAGCCCAACCGACACAACAGTGAGGAAGAGAAGAGGAAACTAAAGCAAAAAAAGGATGAAAGAAAAAAAATGAAGCCCGGGTGAACATAGCTAGCTTACATTGTATCCTCTGGAGAGACTTGTCTATGGGAGAGACCTGAGGGACTACCTCAGACTATCTATGCTCGGACTGCATTTGGACGCAAAACTAGCGGTAAACTTTCAGTTATATATTTTGTTAGCAGTGCGTTGCTTTTGTACCTTTTCATCAGTGATTGTTGTACAGCTTACGAGAAGTTGCGCTCATGCTAATGTTAGCATACGTATCAGATCGCAAATAAAACTAGATGGCTCCGTGGGATGAGAGCTTAGGGGAAATGAGAAGCTTGTGAGTGAGTTGGGGGCGGGGCTAAACATTCAAACCTTGCAGAAACGGGTATAGCTCCTTTAAAGCTAATTTGCAACTTCAGTTCCTGGTTAGGCCTTTAAAGAAACACAGACAGTATATACAGAAAGGCTAAGACAATATTTTATTTTACGGATATGTATTCCCACCTTGACACCTTCTCCACCGACTCCCACTGATGACTGCTGTCGTTGTGTCCTTGGGCAAGACACTTCAATCAATCAATCAATCAACGTTTATTTATAGAGCGCCTTTCCTACACAAGGCAACGCAAAGCGCCTCACAACCCATATAACATCATGCATAAATCATCAAACATTAGAATTTAAGTAAACATAAAAAGACAGATTAAGAGCACAAGATATATAAAATCACACAAGTAGTTAAAAACCGTAAAAAATTAAAATCACACAAGGGATTACAATCATAAATAATCATAAATAATCATAGCGCATTAAAAAGATTAAAGATAAAAACAAATGTAAAATCATTCACTTGTATGCACAGCTAAAAAGAACTGTTTTCAGTTCAGTTTTAAAAACTGCTAGAGTAGACGCCTGTCTCACACTCTCGGGAAGACGGTTCCAGACTCTAGCTGCATGAATCTGAAACGCAGCCTCCCCATGTCTAGTTCCGACTCTTGGCACTAACAGAAGTCCAGTCCCTGTGCTCCTCAGAGCCCGAGTTGGTTCATATGGCACCAACATGTCGCGGATGTACCCTGGTGCGAGGCCATGGAGAGACTTGTACACAAGTAAAGCTACTTTAAAATCTATTCTCCGAGCCACAGGAAGCCAGTGCAGAGACCTGAGGACCGGACTAATGTGGTCGTACTTCCTGGTTCTAGTCAGGACTCGAGCTGCAGCATTTTGGATGTACTGCAGCTGTTTTACCGCTTGTTTAGAGAGACCTGTGAACAAGCCATTGCAGTAGTCCAATCGACTGGAGACAAATGCGTGGATAAGAATCTCCAAGTCTGCTTTAGACACAATGTTTTTAATTTTAGCAATGTTTCTTAGGTGGAAGTAAGCTGATGATGTCACAGATGATATGTGGCTATTGAAATTCAAGTCTGAGTCCATTATTACTCCTAGATTTCTGACCTGAGTTGAGGGTTTCAGGGAGAGAGACTGGAGGTGGCAGATAACGCTCTCTCTTTGTTTCTGAGGTCCGAAAACAATAATTTCAGTTTTTTCTGTGTTTAGCTGGAGAAAGTTATTTTGCATCCAATCACTGATTTGTTGGATACAGTGAAGGAGCGAGTCCACTGGTCCATGTTCTCCTGCTGTCAGGGACACATAGACCTGAGTATCGTCAGCGTAATTGTGATAGGACACGTTATTACTGTGTATTAACCTACCCAGAGGCAGCATGTAAATATTAAACAGGAGAGGCCCCAGGATTGAGCCCTGTGGCACTCCGCAGGTCAGGGCCAGATGGTCTGAGACACAGTTTCCGATCTCCACAAAATACTTTCTGTCCTGTAGGTAGGATATAAACCAGCTTAGGGCTGTTCCAGAAACACCAACCCAGTCCTATCCTTGACACAGGATAACATTGAAGAGAGACTCAAGTTTTTGGTTTTTTTAAGTAGACCTTGCAAGAAACACTCTTCTGTGTGGGCTGTTTGAACGTTGGGGCGTAGCAGCATAGGTCCAGCCACAACCCTTTCCCCACGGGTTTAGGACCAAAGAGAACCAAGAGAAGGCCTTGTCATTCTGGGATTTAGCCTCAGCTAAAACCTAAGACAGTGGTATTTGGAAAAAGTCAAACGATACAAACGTTACAAATGTGCAAAAGCAACTTTCAATTAATCTACTGCAAAGATGCTACAATTGGAATGTGTGTTTCATAACTAGTCAAAACATTTAAGCGATTAAAAATGACATTGTATATGAAACGTATGTTGGGTTCAAGCCCACCTCAGGACCTACTCCAACTGCTCCCACTAATGTCTGCTGTCGTTGTGTCCTTGGGCAAGACACTTAACCCCACATTGCCTGAAGCTCCCGCTGAAACACCAAGGCTGTGGCACCACTGATGGAGCAGCCATCTTCCTGTGGACCCACCACCTGCAGAGGATCAGCGAGGGACTGATGCGATGAGCATTGGGTGGCAGCTCTACTTGTCACCCCCCCGACCCAGAAATTGACTAATAAAGGGGTAGAAAATGAATGAATGAATTCTTTATGAATACAAAGATTAAATAAAAATGCAATACATTGAATAGGCCAGCTCTGTTGTTTATATGGATGAACAAATTCATGTTTTATTTTACAAACTGATATTACCTGAAGTCCCTATATATTTCAAATGGCTTCAATGGCTCAAAGGCAGACATTTCACTGTTGTATTCTGATATACAGTATGATTGTGTATTTGTGCGAGTGAAAAATGAAAAGTAAAAGCTAAAATCCTTGCATGTTTTTTACCAATTCAACAATACTTTTATTAAAATCCAAACAATAGCTGGTTCACTGTGTTATCTAATCTGCCTCAATGAAAGTCACTTTCTGGAGGTGTCACATGATTTCAAGTAGGAGTCAGCTTTATAGATACTATGCCAGCCTACCCATTGTTAAGCCCTATGTTTTTCCTTTAAAAACAAACATTATATGAACATTAGATCTTAGGTCACATGTTTTCAAAGATCTTACGTTTTACAATCCATCCATTTTCTTCCCCTAATCCATTTCTGTGTCGGGGGGGGGGTGACAGAGCTGCACCCAATTCACAGAGCACCAGCCCCTCACGGATCTTCCTGCAGGTGGAGGGTCCACAGGAGGACAGCTGCTCTGTAAGAGACAGTACAGCCTTGTTCTTTCAGTGGGGGCTTCAGGCAAAGTGGGGTTAAGTGTCTTGTCCAAGGAGACAACAACAGCAGACATCAGTGGGGGTAGGTCTCGTGCTGGGCTCAAACCCACGACCTTCCAGCTCAAAGGCCAATGCTCTACTAACCGAGCCACTGTCGCACATTTTGCAATAATAAAATTAAATAAAAATATATTGTGTACATTAAGAATTTTAGTGCTAAATAATGTCTAACTGAAAAGAGTTTTGGCTGAAGTGGAGACTTGTTCTGCCTAACCCCATTACAACTGTGACAATGTCCAAAGATGACACATTACAGAGATTTTTCTCTCTTTTAATACATGATTTTTGACAATTATTTTACTATTAGTTTTATCATTCATTCATTTGACATAATTTGCAGGTGCTTCAAGAGAAATTCACCAAATTTGCAACAGAAACAAACAGTACTGGGCAGCATCGTCTGGATCAGGTGAACAAAATGGTGAACGAGATGATCGACTGTGGGCACTCCGACGCGGCCACCATCGCCGAGTGGAAGGACGGACTGAACGAGTCCTGGGCCGACCTGCTGGAGCTGATGGAGACTCGCAGACAGATGCTCACGGCTTCACACCAACTACACAAGTTCTTCACCGACTGCAAAGAGGTGCCTACAAACACAAATGTCACACGCAATGTAAATAAAGCTTACTTACTTACTTACTTACTTACGCGTTTTTTTGGACATGGTTTAAAAAGAGACCACTGAATTAAAAGCCCCGAAATCAAATTATTTCATGAAATCCTTTTTTTTTTTTAAGCTATAAAACCCATACTAGAAATATGGGGTAATAACAGGGAAGAAATTAAGCAAAAAAAGGGGGTTAAAGATACAAGCTAAAAATAGTTTCCCCTGCTCAGTCCTCGTTCTTTCTCTCACTCCGTTTTTGGACTCCAGCCCTCCGGGTGGGCGCTTTGGGTCTTGTGGCCACAACCGTTGCCGCCAGACCATGCGGCTTTGGCCACCCCTTTGTCTCACTCTCTGGCTTCCTTCTCCTCTTCCTCTCCCCGCCTTTTATGTCCAAAGCACAGGTGTCCTCATTGCGGCAGTACAAAGTGCTTTAAAATTGTGGGCATTTGTGTCCCACCATTTTTCATGTTTTTAGTGGTAGGGGAAACCGGAGCACCCATAGGAAACCTACGCAGACACGGGGAGAACATGCAAACTCCTCCCAGAAAGGCCCTGTTCCGACTGGGATCCAAACACAGGACTTTTCTTGCGAGAAGCGAGAGTGCTATCCACTCAGCCACCATTACGCCAATGTGTTTTTAAATAAAAACATGCATTCATGCATGCATACTACCTTTAAAAACAACCATCCCTTCTTCACCCACGACACAAACCAGACATACAAACTGACATGATAAGTCCAAGTGTTTTCTATGTGCCTGTGATGACACTGCTGGTCTGTTTATGTTTAGATTCTGGCTCAAATCATGGGGAAGATGAAGCAGCTGCCAGAGGTCAGGGCGTGCCAAGCTAACATCACCAATCCTGCCACTCTGCAGAGACTCATGCACTCCTTTGAACATGCCCTTCAACTCCTGGTGGGGCAGGTACGCCTTCATACAGATCACAGACACACCTGCAATACTGATTTCCACTGTATATAGCTTTTTTGTTTTGTATTTTTTTCTACACGTACACACAAACACACACACAGGTCCAGGACTTCTGTACAAAAACAAAAATAACAAATAGAAATATGGATTGTGTGCATGCTCAGAAAAACTTTTTGAGAATGAATCAATTTTTGAAAGAAAATCATGTTGTTTCAAATCAAATGTTTTGCCAGATGTTTTGGTCGGGGTTAGTTTCACAAAGCCGCTATAATATTGTTATGTCTGTAAGATGTTCCTGCAGGCTAACACCATGCATTTGTATTTTGAATATTGTCACCACTTCTAGACACCTTTATGAAATAATAATAAGACTATAGGAACTATGTAGCAGTTTTTTTGTCTGTGGACTGGCTCAGGTATTATGGAGAAATTATCTTATGGTACTTTCAGACCGCCAACGCTGAAACGCACGTTCTCTAGTTTTCAGAAGCAGGGGTCTTCAGACCAGAGGTCCTGGCGTGCGCCGGAAGTAGCCGGCGGGCGCTGATGCTAACAGAGTTTAGCTAGTGGCTTCTTGTGTACAGATCTTCTCCAATATTATAGTTTTGCAGCGTTCCTGTGTTCAGAGACCTTCCACAGACTTTATATAACAGTAGTATGTGTTCACAGAGGTGCGCAATACGTTTATTTTATTATGAAACGCTACTTCCACATCAGCAAACACACTCAAAGCAGTAGCATAAAGTCACGGGAGCATGAAAACTCACATGTTAACAAGCACTATGTTCCCCATTGTCAACCCTGGTTTAGTCCTGGTGTAGCTCCTAGCTGTTTTGGCTGTTTACGAGTATTTTCAGTCTGCTCGCTCAGACCACTAATGTCCCCGTGACCACTTTGCGGCTCTCTGATTGGTCACTGCACGAACGTCCCGAGGAAATGTTGAACAAAATTCCTCTCCTGCGTTCCTCCCATAGACTGTATATATGAACGGACGTAGTCAAGCCTCGCTCCGCCGTTCTAACTAATGGGCCAAAAATTGGGCTCTCGTAGAGTGATTCAAATTGGCCGCGGAGGCTGGAAAATGTGAAAAAACACATCTGCGCATGCGTCAGCCGGCACAAGCTCCATTCATTTAAAGGAGTGACTTCAAAAAATCACAGTGAGTAAACTAGAGTGGTCCAAAAAATTCACTCCCCTCAGCATTGACACACATGTGGAACGGAGCTTTGGGCCAAGACATAGACTGTATTAACGGACAGAGTCACGCCTATCTCCGTCGTTCTAACTAATGGGTCAAAAAATGTGCTCTACTGGAGCAATCCAAAATGGCCGCGAGTGGTCCCGCCCACAAGAAAATTGTGAAAAAACGCATCTGCGCATGCGGCAACTGGCGCAAGCTCCATTAATTTGAACAAGAGACTTCAATAATTCACAACAAGTAAACTAGAGTGGACCAAAATAATTCACCCCCTCAGCATTGACACACATGTGGAACAGAGCTTTGGGCCAAGAGCCAACTTTTGGTACATCCTGTAAAGACGTTTTTGAGAGGTCTGCTAATGCTATATGTTAGCATCGGCTAATTCTTCTTCTGGGTCCACCCCCATCGGCCCGGGGTGGTATTGCAAGCATGTTAGCGCACTTCATTTTGGCCACTTTTGAGCCGGGACCCGCCCCCACTGGTTCCTCCCCTTTGACCTCCCCGCGCAGTCCGTGCGTGCATTCCGAGACGCTCGTGCATTTTGACGCTCAAACGCGCGTCACCATTGACTTTGCATTGAAAGCCGACGCAACGCATGATCCGGTCTGAACGCGGCATTAGACATGTTGATGATCTTTGTACAGATCTTATAACTTAAATTTTTCCCTTGGGTGCACCTACCAAAGAATGACAATTTGTTTGATTTTTAGGTGAGGCAGATGCAGGAGAATGCGGCCCAGCTCAGGACCATCTATGCTGGGGAGAAGGCAGAAGCCATCATGATCAAAGAACAGCAGATCATGGAGGCGTGGAGAGAACTGCTGAGCTCGTGTGAGGCCAGTCGAGTCCAGGTCACCTCTGTGACTGACAAAGTGCAGTTCTTTTCTCTGGTCCGAGAACACCTCATGTGGATGGAAGGGGTCATGGGACAGATCATGTGGGACGAGCCGAGGTGCGTATCAATGTGAAGATTAAACATATAATAGGAATGAAGAAATGAGTTTGTGCGTGTGTGTTCGTGTGTGTTGAAATTCCTTTTCACAAACACTGTCACATACAGTGTTTGTCGTATGTGCATGGCCCCTGGTTCCTAAACCTTTGATGAGATATGTGGTGTGTTATGTGTACTGTGTGCTGTTAATCGCAAATGTTACTTTTCTTAGGGATCAAATATCTTTGGAGTTAATGATGAGACAACACCAGGAGCAAAAAGCCAAAATAGAAAACCGCAGCAAGACCATACAGCAGTGTGCCGATCTGGGCAAAATCCTCATTGCTGCAGGCAATCCTGCATCTGACGAGGTGAGCCTGATAAGTTAACGTTAGCTTTGCCAAGATGGATCCATAAATCGTATTAGTCATACATCCACTAACATGCATACCTCTACAGATAAAAGAGAAGTTGGACAGTCTTCTGGCAAAACAATGTGCTCTCAACGATAAGTGGGAAAAACACCAAGAAAGATTGCTATCTAGTAAGTATCCTCATTGATGCATTTTTAGTATGTGGCTGAAATATAGAAATATAATATAAAACAGTTTAAACCACCAAAATGGTTAGAAAACACAAGCGTGTGCTGTTGTGTCCGTACAGAGCAGGAGCACTTCCAGTTTGCGCAGGAGACAGTGAAGGCGGAGGCATGGCTAAAGGCCAAAGAGCCACTGATTACATCCAGGGAGGCTGACGTGGGACAGGCCCAGGCCCAGACAGACGAGGTGGAGCAGCTCATCCTTCGCCATGAAGCCTTCCGCAAGGCTGCTGTAACCTGGAAAGAGCGCTTCAGCTCCCTCCGCCAGCTTTCTGCAGTAAGCTTAACTGGAGATAAATGTTTAATCAGTTTTTGTTGGAGTCACACTTTAATGGCTCTAAAAGAAAAAAGTGACCCAAGAAACTGCTTAGCAGGCGCGCTTTACTCATGCCATAAGTTCACTTCAGCTGTTTTTTCTCTTTTGCATGTGCTGCATTCACACTAGACTTATCCTATATACTGTAAAACCATTACTCTCCATTTATTGTTGTATGAATTTAAATATTAATATTCCCATTTGAAAACATTCTAAAATATGTTATGTTTTTGCTCAGGCTGAGAAGAAAAAGGAAGAAGATAAAAAGATGCCTCTGTCCAGTCGTAGAATGTTTCCGTTATCCTGCCTGACTCCTGGTGCTTCCTCTACTTCTACCTCTCTTTTTTTGAGGCAGACGGTACAGGCGCAGATAGAACCCAAGCCTTTACAGAGCACTCTGGAGCTGGGAGCCACCCTGGCCTCTCAGAGACTGTCCGCGAGCCTAAGCAATTACAATCCAGTCCTCAACGGATCGGGCTACCACTCACTGGATCAGCATGGAAGTTCCAAGATCAGTAGCTCCTCATACCTTGGAATGAACCACCTAACACCTGCCCCCACGTCTGAGGCTGGCCTGTCTGCTCTGGCCTCTCATAGCACTGGAGTTGATGCCTCTTTTACTGGAATAAACCATCAAACAGGGGCAATCGGGGAACCCTCTAGCTACTTTGGACTAAGCGCTGTTGGAGGTTCTAGTCTCTCCAACCATAACCATTTAGGCAGTGGAAGACTGGGGAGTTCGGGAAATCTGGCTACACAGCCAGGAGGCGTAGGATTTTCCAGTCCAGGCTTTCTTTCTCAGCCGCAAAGCATGGGAAGTTCGGGATATCTGGCACAAACACAAAACGTTGGAGGTTCTGGATATGTGAGTCAACAGCCTAATTTAGGGAGTACCGGATACTTGGCACAACAGTCTCAATTAGGGAGTTCGGGATTCTTAGCACAGAATTATCAGGGCAGTGGTAGCTTGGGCAGCTCAGGCTTTCTGGCACAAAATCACTACAGCAGTGGTAGTCTAGGCAGTTCAGGTTATTTAGCCCAGAGCGGTGGCATCATGGACCCAAAAATGGCCTATGCCTGGCAGCATCTGAAAGCTGATTTTATGCAGCCCAGAATCAACCACATACACAAGGCAGTGAATCCTCTTCTGGAGGCCAGTAGGATTCAGCGAGAGCAGTATGGAGACATTCCCATGGCTGACATGGGACCAGAGTCTGGGCTGGAGTTACTCCATGGGCGTCTGCAGAGAGACCCCCGAGGCAGTCGCTCTGACCCTCAGATGGATCATCTGCGGCGGGAGAGGGAGTACAAGCTGGGCCGCCAGACCTCCAGTGAGCAGGAGATCCAAGCCCGGCTCAATGAACTGCCTATGATTGTGCGACAGGAGCGATACCGCAGACGATTAGAGCGGCAGTCGTCTAGTGAGCAAGAGGGGAGTGGCAAGCAGCGGATACCCAGGCAAGACTCCAGCGACCTGGAAGGATCGGGGAAGGAGGGCTCGGATAAGCGCTCAGGGTAGGTCAATCTCCTGTTCTAGTTACGCCTGCGATGGTTGAGGACATTGTGTGACTTGTGTGTTCTCTCTGTAGCGAGAAGAGATCCACAATGGCAGAGATTGTCGAACAGGCTCAGGAGCGAGAAGCTGCAAATGTAAACATCCTCACATTATGGTCAGGAAGTGTCCTTCATGTTGTCCATGTTCATCATGTCCTTGTGTTCCACAGGCACGAGGAGAGCCTTACCGACCTCCCAGCAGCCTCTCTGCTCCTGTCACCAGATTTGACGGACGTCCTAGAGCCAGAGACAGGCCCAAACCCAGGAGAAGGCCCCGCCCTAAAGAGCCAGAGGAGCCAAGGCGGTCCCGTTCAGCCCCAGCCACTGGTGCACCCACAACCCCCCAGCCCCCCTCTCTCACTGCCCACAACGAAGGCTTCCTCTACCGCAAGAAAGCCACCACCTCTGAACTGGAGGCTCAGCAGAGGAGCCCCAACAGGTACGACATTCATCCAACTGTGTTTTTATCCACGTATGTATGCACGTAATATAATAATACAATATACTATACTTGGAATTGTGTATTACAGTCATTAATACAGGTTTCTGAACTAAAAGAGTATTTTGGTTTTTAGTAAAACTTGGGTGAATGTCTACTGTGTGCTGAAAGAGGGGCAGCTGAAATTCTTCAAAGATGCAAGGAATCATAGTACAACTTACAATGAAGAGCCCCCAGTGGAAATGTGCAACTGCACCTTTGACCCATCCATGGGGTACAAGAAGAAGAAGAACGTTTTCATTGTGCAGTAAGTTTCATTCTGTCGTCTTCAACCCCAATGTAGCTATAGATTACACAGTGAAGCTAAAAAAACCTTGTTCTTTTCATACTTTTGTTCCAGAATGAACGATGGAAACAACTTCATATTCCATGCAAAAGATGAGGTGAGTGATGTTTACAATGTGACATAATACACAATAAAGGAAATATGTAGTTTGCTACATACATAATACTACTGTTAACTAATAACTTAATACTTTATGTCCGTAACACAAAATAATATATAATACAAGTACATCTGCACTTTTGTTCCAATCGGAACATAGGAGGACCTAAAGGCCTGGACGTCCAACATCACGTCTGCTATCGCAGAGAACGAGCCCATGGCCAAGTGGGACCAGCCTGGTACATCAGGTCTGGAGGCTGATCGCTCTGAGCGGAAGGAGAAGTCTGAGGGCGATGCTGACGCTCGCTCCGAGCGCTCGGAACTACTGGTGGGAGAAGAGCGCTCCGAGAAGGAGAGGTCAGAGAAAGGAGACGGCTCGGAGAAGCTAGACACATCAGAAATTGCTGATAAATTTGAGGGTGGGGCTGGAGGCTCCAGCACCTCTGGGAAGAGCAAATGAGGAATCCCTGTGACCCTGTGGTCACTGACTAAAGGTACAGGAGGTGGGTGAGAGGACAGAAGGATGATGAGAGATGGACGGGAGCATGCGCAGCTATGTTTTCAGACCCTCAATGACTCGCTGGAACACACTGAGGCCATTGGACTGACTCAACTGTGACAGACTCATCTCGCAGCCCCTCCCCTTCACCCAGGCAATACAGGAGCGCCACCTGGTGGTAGAGAGGAGGGAGGTGGGCCGAGACACAGTCAGACTCCAACTATTGTTCCAGGAAATAGTCACTGTCACGTCTCATTGTTGATAGTTTAATCTCTTGGATTCACAGCATTTTTCTGTATGTATCTTGACTGATAATGTAATGCTCTGTCTATCTAGACAACTTGAGAAGTGGTGAATGACATTTCACAATATAAAAAAAAAAGGTTTTTTGAAGCAATATACTTTTTTATTTATTCTCTTTGTTAGAGTGAGAAAATGGGAAGGAAATAATAACTAGCTGCAAATGTAAACTGATTTGCCACACCCACGTAAGCTTACATCCGGCAGTTGGGCACCTTAAACACAGACCTGTGTAAAGTGAACATGTAATCCCATTGCACCACTAGCTTTGAGTGATGTTAGTATAACGGAATGCTGGTGTAATTCTCTGAGCTCATCATGTCAGTAAATACTAATGACCACTATTCACTTTCATTTCTATGACATCAAAATGTTACGGTTTTTATTTTCTTAATGTCAAGCAAAGAGCTCTCCATCCAATTCAAATTGAGTCCATGAGGTGTGAAGTGGCAATGCTCAAAGTAACAGTAAGCTTACGTAACACAATGCCTTTGTATACATGATGAAAACCCAAGCATTGCATGAAATAGTTTATTAGTGCTCCTGTTTAACTTGCTTTTATTTTTATTTTCTTGAAACCATTTAGGCAGAACAGAGCTTGAACTGCAATAACTGAATGTGAGGAGGTGAGTGTGTACGGCATCGCTAGTGAGAAGAGTGGGATGTACGGTCAGACCAGAGAAAAGTCTTTGATCTATGACTTCTATCGGCCAAAGGGGTCACTTTATTGTTTGTCATGTCTAATGTGACTTTTATTCATAGAATGTAAAAAATTCAGCTGTGAAATGTTGAACCTCGGCTGATGCGGTGCCGAAAATCATGATAAAACTCTAAACCACATAGATTGGACTGCTCTGTGTTTGAATCCAGGCATACAGTAGACTGAAAAAGACCAGTTTAAGTGTCATAAATTGTATATACTTATCTTTGTATTTATACCAATAAAATCCAATCTAATAAAACAATATTCTGAAATGAAATGGATACAATTTAACATTTTTATTAATCCACTTAAGTCAAAGTAAACAATCACTCCAATATCCTAATATCTTATCACATGAAAATATGCAAATTAGGATAATGAAGTTATATGGTGTGTGTATATAACTACACAATTATTAAATGGTATGAACATCTTAACCAGGAAGACCAGCAGGCCATACTTGACTGTAGGTATGCTTGTTCTATTTTTATATATATGTAACAACATCAGGTCTGTCCGATTCAGGGGTTCCCTGTCGTCCCAAGAAGAGCGCTATTATAAAGTCAGTGTACGTGTGTGCGTCCAAGTACCTCCTCTTCACACGACGAATTGTAACCAAATGTGATGAGAATGACTGCGTCCAGAGTACTGCACGGGGGAAACACCTTTTTCTTTGGCATAAATGTTGCTATTTTAGTTATCGGATTTCTGCAAATTGTGCCATTCTTTAGAAAAAAAAGCAACAGAATTCCTTCTGAGAACGTGGCAGACCTCCTCTGGCTGTACTTGTCTCGTCTTTAGCTGTTTCAGTCTCATACTTGTTTACAGTCTTCCTCTGAAAGCACCAAAAGTTCTTTGTAGACAAGAGTGCAGTGAATCCTGCAGTGTTCTGGTTCTGCCTGCATTAATACTGTCTTATTTGAAATCGAAATAAGCTATGTTTTAATGGAAATGATTTATTTGTTGCATTTATTTGAATGTAAGTGCCATGTCATGCAGTCTGCAGAAGTCTAATGGTTTGGGAGAGAAAGGTTTATTGACAGTCAAACTAATTTGAGTGAATCAATCAATACATCTGTCACTGCAATACATCTTTTCTACCATCAGAGCTTGAGTCTGTTCATGTGGCTGTGATTGTTCCTACTCATTGCTCATAGCAGATATTTAGCCTGCACCACTGTGTGTGTTTGAAATGTTTGCTTCTCATCACTTTTTCTGAAACACACAGGGCCATCTCAACTATGTTAAAAAGAACATAGTTATAACCAACGTAAATAAGAAGAGTAACCGTGACAGAAGAAAAAATATTGTGAAACTTTTGTTTCCTCCATTGATTATCTTACAGTGTGTATGTCTTTGTTACCTTACAACTTGCTGCTATGACATTAAATAAACCTCCAAACTTGCTAATGCAAACTTGATGTCAATTAATGGTGACAATTTATTTTCATGCCTTTTTGCACAAATATTTTTCATGGAAAAAGCATCACATGGATGGCATAGTTGTAATGGTTACAGCGCTCAGGATCTATGGTGAATGTAGAAGGTGAAAATGTGTCTTAAATCATAAAAAGAACTTGTTATAAGGACTCCTAAAATATAACAATATGGCTCATTTCTTTGTAAGCCTTTGATCTCTCACCTGTGGCCAACAGAGCCTGCCAGGGGAGTAAAGTATGTTTGAAAGGTGACCTCCCAGCCTCACAATAGTTAGAGTCAAGCTGAGGATTATTCTTGAATGTTTTACTAATCCTTATCTGGGATTCAAGGCTTCAGTGCTTGTAAAATGTCTGTTTCACCTCCCACCTATCCCCGCCCACTTCTCTGTACTAACTTGTGATCAATCCAATCCAATTTTATGAAACTAATATTAACTTTAAAACCGGTAAATAACAATACACTGGAGGCTGCAACCAAATGCATGTGGTTCTGCATTTTTGGACCTGCTTCTATTTTTAGAGGTGTGACTAATATAACAATATTATATTTAAGGATTTTACCAAATGCACCCCATTGTGGCCTTTTTAGCTGTAAATTTTTTTCTTAGTGGTAGACATACTTTACATTTGGCCAAAGCTCTAAGATACGCAGATAATGTTTTCAGAGGAATTAATTGGATAATGATATATTGGATATTTTTGGATTAAGAATGATTACATTTATATCAACAGGAACAGTGCACATGAACAAAAATAGTAAATGTGCCAGTGTTGTAGCCCCTGTAGCTAAATGTCAGCTTTAAACACAATACAAAATATACTTATGCTCAATAAAGTTAGTGGAAAATTGTAAACATTATTAAGAATTCTGAGTCTCATGAGTTTTGATACACAAAATGCTACACAATGATACACAAAAAGTAACAACAAGCTGCACTACATTTGTACAAGTTGCGCTACCCTCGAGTCAAATTGACCCACCACAGTGATTAAAGAATACCCTAAATGCTTTTTGTTTGTTTTTTTCAAGATGAATATTGATGATTTCTCCTAACTTGACCAGCCCTGGGTCATTACACTCTTTTAGACCCTAATTCAGGTTATTTTTTTGAATCGGAGGACAAACCAATGACTGGACTCTTTGGGAATCCTGGGCCCTGATGTTTTGCCCACTGATGACTCTTTACTCTAATATCAAGTGGGGACCATCTCTGAAAAAAACAAATAGTCAAATAGCTGGTTTCTGAGGATAGGATACATTTGAATAGGAAAATGTAGGGTTTTTACAATTCTCCTTTCACAGCTGAGGCAAATGTCACAGGAAATGAGATTATTACACCAGTAATAAAGTAAAAAGCTCTTTAAAATGTTTGGTTACTGGTATTTTTTGCCTGACAGTGGAGTTTATGTATACTGTGCAGGTTCATCCCAGAATGTGTGATTATACTCTAAATATCAGAATCATTTTTAGAATCATTTTTATTGCCACGTAAGTAACAGGAGGTCACAGACTAGGAAATTGCTTTGGCTCAGTGCAACAGTCAAAAAGAGATAATAAAAATAAGAATAAAAAACACTTCTAAAGAATAAATTTAAATTTAAAATAGAGTTACAGTTACTATTTACAATATACAAGTGCACATGGTGCACACAATGTAAGGTGACAGCAGTACAGTGAAGTAAAGTGACGTATGATGGGCAGTAAAGTGACTTTATAAAGGGCGGGGGGACAGGTTAAGAAGTGTTCAAGAGTCCAACAGCAGAGGGGAAGAAACTGTTCTTGTGGCGGGAGGTTCTAGTCCTGATGGACCGCAGCCTCCTGCCTGAGGGGAGTGGTTGGAATAGTCCATGTGCAGGGTGAGAGGGGTCGGCTGTGATACGACCAGCCCGGCCTCGAGCTCGGGCGACGTACAGGTCCTGCAGCGATGGAAGGCTGCGGCCGATCACTTCCTCTGCAGAGCGCACAATGCACTGTAGTCTCTGTTTGTCCCTGACTGTGGCTCCAGCGAACCACACGGTGATGGAGGAGGTGAGGATGGACTCGATGATGGCCGTGTAGAACTGCACCAGCATCTGTGCAGGCAGCTTGGCTTTCCTGAGCTGCCGCAGGAAGTACATCCTCTGCTGGGCCTTCTTGATGAGGGAGCTGATGGTCGGCTCCCACTTGAGGTCCTGGGTGATGGTGGTGCCCAGGAAACGGAAGGACTCCACAGAGGTGATGGGGGAGTCCATCACGGAGGGTGGGGGCGGGGGGACAGTGCTCTTCCTGAAGTCCACAATCATCTCCACTGTCTTCTGGGCGTTCAGCTCCAGGTTGTTACCACTGCACCAGGACACCAGCCGGTCCACCTCCCTCCTGTAGGCGGACTCATCGTTGTTGGAGATGAGTCCAATGAGGGTGGTGTCGTCCGCGAACTTGATCAGCTTCACGTGGCTGGAGGTGCAGTGGTTGGTGTTCAGGGAGAAGAGCAGGGGAGAAAGAACACAGCCCTGTGGGACTCCTGTATTTATAATCCGAGAGTCCGAGACATTCTTCCCCAGACGCACTCGCTGCTTCCTGTCCGTCAGGAAGTCAGTGATCCACCTGCAGGTGGAATCGGGCACGTTGAGCTGGGAGAGCTTGTCCTGGAGCAGGGATGGCAGGATTGTGTTGAAGGCAGAGCTGAAGTCCACGAACAGGACCCTGGCGTAGGTCCCCGGGGAGTCCAGGTGCTGTAGGATGTGGTGGAGGGCCAGGTTAATGGCGTCGTCTACAGATCTGTTGGCTCTGTAGGCGAACTGCAGGGGGTCCAGGAGGGGGGAGGTGAGGGACTTGAGATGGGAGAGAACCAGGCGTTCAAATGACTTCATGACGACAGACGTAAGTGCTACAGGTCTGTAGTCATTGAGTCCTGTGATCCTGGGCTTCTTTGGGACGGGGACAATGATGGAGGATTTGAAGCAGGCCGGGACATGGCAGGACTGCAGAGAGGAGTTGAAAATGTCCGTGAACACAGGAGTAAGCTCACTGGCGCAGTGTCTCAGAGTGGCCGGAGACACGTGGTCCGGGCCAGGAGCTTTGCGGGGGTGCAGCCTCAGGAAGAGTTGTTTAATCTCTTTAGCGGCTATTGTTAGGCTGGGGGCAGGGCTGATGGGTGGGTCGTTAGAGTAGTGGGGGGTGGGGGAGGGAGAGGTGTCAGGGGCAGCATCAAAGCGACTGAAAAATAAGTTCAGTTCGTCAGCTAGCTTGTGGTCGTCAGCACAGGGGGGGGGCTTTGGGTTTGTAGTTGGTGATCTCCCGTAGGCCCCTCCGACAGAAGCAGTATCGTTGTTACCAAACTGCTCCTGTAGTCGTTCTCTGTGCCGGGACTTGGCTGCTTTCAGTTCTTTCCTGAACTGATATTTAGCTGCTTTGTAGCCGCTGCGGTCCCCCTCCCTGAAAGCAGACTCCTTTGCTTTCCTGAGCTGCCGGAGTTTAGCAGTGAACCAGGGTTTGTCATTGTTATAGATGACCCTGGTCCTTGTTGGAATGATGCTATCCTAACAGAAGTGAATGTATGACGTCACAGTGTCCGTGTATTCATCCAAACTATCTGTGGCAGCTCTGAAAAGGTCCCAGTCTGTAGATTCCATGCCAAATATGAGGGACATATTTAGAGTATATATATGCCAGCAGTTTGATGGTTATATTTTACCAATTCAATTGATGTAAAAACAAATAAAATGAGAGTACCTGTACAGGATGTAGTCAGGAGACTGTAAATAACTCATTATAATTTAAAACTTAAATTTAAAACTGAAAGCGTTCCAAGAAACCCCCAATTCAATAGAACTATGTATTATGATATCTTAGTTCCTCACTCTCAAAACAGTTTGGTTTTTTGTTATCACTATACATAGTTCCCACATGACGTCACTACATACGGGGATTTGCCGACCCGGCGACATTTGTGTTGGCATTCTGTGGGCAAAACAATAGAAAAAGAAGCTGAAACGTGTTAATGTCGTGATAAAGTTGAAAATGGTCATCTCCTGCTGGGTCAATGGATGTTCAAATCGTGCCGGAGGTTCCGTTAAACTTGGATTTTACAGTATACCCATCATTAGACTTCATGAATGTGAGAAGACTAAGCTTTTGTCAGAACAACCACGGAGGTTATGGCTTGCGAAGATAAACAGGCAAGAAACTCCCTCAAAACACGCAAGAATATGCTCGGAGCACTTTGTGTCAGGTGCGTATCGTATCTCATAATGTGTTGACAGACGTAATTTACTCAGTACTAACTTGTGTATGCTGATAGCTGGTAACTTGAGAGTTTCATTATTTAGCGTTAGATTACTTTATTATGAGGAGGATCGGTGTCGCGTCCGAGGCTCTCGAGGGCAACGTAAATGTATTAAATAGATAATAATAGTTCTATGGTGGGCTAAAACAATGTTCACAAACAGCATTGCTTCTGTAAAAAGATCTGTGTCATAAAATAAACTGCTCTTTACGCCTGGAAAAATCAATTGCCCACCATTCACCAAAACGTACGGTCAAAAACGCGGAAATAAACAATAACAGCAATCCAGAGTGTCCGTGTGGCATTAGCATTAATTAAATTAATTGTTAATATAATTAAAATAATTAAATGGAGCTCCAACTGGTATTAAATCTAAAGTTTTTGAGAAATGTTTGCATTGCTTGTTAATTTTTGCTGCATAATTTGATCAAATATGTAAAACATGTCCGTAGCACGTTAAACTGTGGTGCCATTGTATTAATATACAATTATTTGCTCAAAAGTTGCCCTTTTTTTCCAATTTGCGTTTGAATATCTACATTTATTCTCATTCTTCTGTTTAATGGAATGCACAAACACAGCAGCGTGCCATCAAAGATCGCGTCTCCGAGGAGGTCATGTGACATTCATTGGTCTGTGGGAACTATGTATAGTTTTCATATTTATGGTCTCTGACTTAATTCAGCCAATCAGCGCTCGGCTCTAAAAGGCGTCAAATAGGGACTCAACAACTATGCAAAACGTATGCAAACAATAACATGTTTTCTAATAGGGAGAAGATAGGATGTTGTGGTCTGGTTGGATGACGTTTCCCTGCGTGAGTGTGTGTAGTCTGTGATATTAGTGCCTTGTGCTGTGATCACGGAAGGGCACGGAAGGAACATTAGCTGCAGCGCTAGCATACACTGTAAACATTAGCTGCAGCGCTAGCATACAACATTAACATTAGCTACAACATTAGCTGCAGCGCTAGCATACAACATTAGCTGCAGCGCTAGCATACAACATTAGCTGCAGCGCTAGCCACTTAGCTGCGCGCTAGCATACACTGTAAACATTAGCTGCACTAGCATACACTGTAAACATTAGCTGCAGCGCTAGCATACAACATTAGCTGCAGCGCTAGCACACAACATTAGCTGCAGCGCTAGCATACACTGTAAACATTAGCTGCAGCGCTAGCATACACTGTAAACATTAGCTGCAGCGCTAGCATACACTGTAAACATTAGCTGCAGCGCTAGCACACAACATTAGCTGCAGCGCTAGCATACACTGTAAACATTAGCTGCAGCGCTAGCATACACTGTAAACATTAGCTGCAGCGCTAGCATACACTGTAAACATTAGCTGCAGCGCTAGCATACACTGTAAACATTAGCGGTAGCCAACTAGCTCCGTGAAGATGGCCGCTTGGGGGAGGCTCGCTGCTCTGTTCAGGGGGGTTTTGCGCACTCCAAGGGGCGTACAAGTACAAGTAGGACTGCGGCGAGTGCTTGGCCCGGGTGTCGTGGGTTCTCTGGTCGGGACTGGGGTCATTTGTTTTTACCGCTACAGCCAACAGAACCGACTGCTTCTGTGCCCAGTGTACGCGAAGGAAAAGGAACCTAATGGAGTAAGTAAAACATGATAAACGTGGTTAAACTCAATGCTTTTCTTCTTCATTGTTTGTTAAAAAGACTGTTGACTTTGTATTTATTACTAATATTGCTTAATGATGATCTAGTTAGTGATAGGTAACCCCGCCCCATTGCAGCTGTCATCCACAAGGAAACACACAAGTTACATCTGAGTAATAATAGATTTAAAACTTCCCCTTTGTTTGTTTTTGAAGCTTTTAGTCAAATCGTATCTTAAGTGGAATTTCAAGTTTTGTTTTTCCCAAAAAGTTTTTGTTGTGTTGTTGGGCTGGTTTGACCACAATAAAGTCAAGGAAGTAGTGTTTCTATGAATTCTATGCAGATTTGGTCAAAGCTTGTTGTCAAACTGTACCTTTAACTCACTGGAAAAATCTGTAGCAAGGCAATTGTATTTGTATAGCCCAGTTCATAGCTTGTACTTAATTGTGTGCAGTCCTTTAAGGCCTTAAAAGCTGAACATTTGATTAATAGTAATGAAAAAGGCATTATGTTACATCATTCTGCAGACAAAGCAAAACTAAAACGCGAGCATGGCTGAATTTGGACATGCACCTGATATAATGCTGATGCAGCACCCCTTTATGCCCCCTGGCCCCTTGGAAGATGCCATCGGTCGCCAATATTCAACTGCACTTTTATTTTTAACTGAAGAATATGTTGTCGTTTCCCTTTTTTAATTGAGGCCAAAATACAATAACATACAATATTTAAGCTCTAACACAATATTTATAGAACCATGGTTGTGTGGACAACCTATGGGGCCCCCGGAGAGCTCCCCCAGTGAGCCTGGACCCCATTTTGGGAAGCACTGATGTTGACATTTGGTAAAGGAAATGTACAGTAGTGACTGGTTCATAGATTTGTTTCATGAAATTCAATAAAAGCACACAGATGGACAAAGCAGTGGTGTTAGATAGTTTTAAGGTTATACAAGCATAGCATTCACAAAATAATGTTTGTTTACCCATGATGGTGGATTGGCAATTCTCTAAACAAAAAGGTGTTGTATTTGAGTTGACCAAAGCTGGGCTGTGTCTGTTCCAGGATGCCCCACACATGTCGCCCCGGAGGCTCCGCTTTTACCAGTTTGCCTCTGTGGTTTACCAGGGCGAGCCATACATGACGCCCAGAGACTTCCTCTACTCTGTGATGCTGGAGAATGTGGACCGTAAGCACTGGACAATATCATATTATAACAGACATAAGCAATGAATATTCTCAATACAACATTGATGATTTCCTCTGGCTGTACATTTAATTACAATAATAATACTAACTTTCCCATTGGTGCCACAACATTGTATACTAGATCTTCTGAAATTTGCTTATCTTTGGGTAATATCTCTCTTGTTATATGGAAAGAAAAAATATACTAATAATATTAACCAATTTCTTCTGTTGTTGTACTTGTAGGAAAGCTGCAGAAGAGAGTTTTAACAGAAAATGTATGTGATTAACATTACATTTGTACTGAAGCCATAACTATAACAATTGTTTTTTTTCATTCATTTATGTCATGGCTTTTTTTTAGGAGGTGTGTAAAATGCTGAGAGTAGCCTCAAACGCCAGAGCAGGGGATTCTTTGTTCAGAACCCTGGGAGACAATGGTAATTTCCCTTGTTTCATTGTTTGTTGAATGGAATTGAGTTGGATCTAAATCTAATGTTCTTGCAGGCCTCATTTCCTACACAGAGTATCTGTTTCTCTTGACCATCCTTACAAGTATGACTTAAACTTGTACATTTCCCCATCACTCTTTTAGTTTCTTATTATTATTATTATTATCATTGTTATTATTTGGTGCTGTCTTCAATCAGAGCCACGCACCGGATTTCACATTGCTTTCCAAATGCTGGACGTGGATGGAAATGAACAAGTGGACCAAAAGGAATTTCTGAAGGTGAATGTGTACATAACAAAACAAAAACATAGTATTTTAATAACAGATGTCACACACAATGAAAGAAATGTCCTTAAATTGCATTGTTCTTACTGCTGCCTAAGTCTGGATCAGTAGTATCTGGACTCTATGACACCGGTCCCAGTGGAAGGTGAGGGACAAGTGCCTGTGCTGTGCTTGTATCCGTCTGTCTCTCTATTTCATGTGTTTATTCATTTCAAACCTGTGTACGTCCAAAAAAAGAAAAGATAAACAGAAATACACAGTTTGAAAAGGGTTTGTCTCGGGAGGAGGCAAGTTTGCGTTGTTCAGGTCGAGGCGAGTTTTACTGTCCGCATGTTGGCACCCGTTTAGCGGCTACATGTCTCGACTCGGGCGCAACTCCGACGCTGTCATTGTAATCGCTAGAAATGCATGTGTGTTGTCGCCAATATTTTTGTGTTGTGGATTGTCTGATGAACGGTTTTTAACCACACCCTTTTTTGTTGTGTCTAAAAGCTCAAGACAATAATAGGAAAAAAGAAAATGGTTTCACTGGCCAAGGGCGATATTGAGGTAGGTGTGTTTGTACTTTCCCGTCCAGCAGGGCCTCAACGATTCATAAATGTGTAACAACTAATCCAAGTGTTTCTATTTTAGTTTTTCATGAAGTGAGTGCTGTCAGTATGTGCTTACAGAAAATTAAACAAATGCATACATGCCTTTTAATTTAATGATTTTAAATAAATCAAAACTATTAAATGTTGTCCAGAGGGTTCATGATCTACAGTCTAAACAACTAATAGATTCATCTCTGGAGTTATCACAGTCGATTATCACAGCTGCTGTTATTGTCCTACAGAGGAATGGATCAGGAATGGACATATTTGGACATTGGTCATCCCGCCCCATGTGTTAGTTTGTATTGGAATTTTTTGTGTTATTTGGTTTTTTGATCCGGAATAGTAATTTATATAGTGCATTTTACAGACCAAAGTCGCCCAAGGTGCTTTACATTGTTCAGAGTTCAGATATTAACTCTGATGCTGTTGTGATTAAGACCAATACAAATATAATTTGAAACTGAATTGGAAAAAAACAATTAATCATCTCAGCCTTACTGCCCAGTGACATTTGCAGTATGTTTATATTGAGTGGACATTTCTCAAGTGTGTTTGTGTCTGTCCACCAGAGCACCGCAGAAGGAGACGTTGTAAAGACTTCTCTTCAGGCGTTCTTTTTTGGACAGAAAGGAGAAAACAAGTTGCAATATCAGGAGTTTCGCAGGTAGCATATAAAAAAATAAATTTTCTTCCTGTGAGAGGCGAACAAAGCAGAATCAGATGTAAGTGTTGTGTTGTGTTAGGTTCATGGAAAACCTGCAGGCCGAGGTGCAGGTGATGGAGTTCCTGCAGTTCTCCAAAGGGATGGACACCATGCGGAGGGAGGACTTTGCCGAGTGGCTGCTGCATTACACCAACGAGGAGAACAATGAAGTGTACTGGCAGAACATGAGGAAGAAGATCCCTGCTGGACAAGTGCATGCTCTGCTTTGTCTGCATTTCCGAGCTCCGTCATGTGGAGAAACTAACCTTCTCCTCATGTTTCATTTCAGAGCATCACGTTTGAAGAGTTCCGAGCCTTCTGCCTCTTCACCAACAACCTGGAAGACTTTGCCTTTACTATGAAAATGGTCACAGAGGCAAATCGTCCGGTTGGAATGGGTAAGAAGATTATTTTAAAAGCCACATGTCTCTAATGTACTTTTTGAGCGTTTAATCATGTTACAACATTGTTCCCTCAAACCTGGAGCTGTTTTTAGATTCATCCATGCTATTATCAGGATCATTTGGCACACAAATCTAACCCTGCCCCTTCTCTCAACCTGTCTCAGTCCTGTTATAGTATGATGTCATTGTACCACTATGACCTCATATTGAGAGCAGTTTACTCTATTTAAAACAAAAGTATTGCCCTACATTAGTTAAGGAATTTTCTTAGGTGAATTAGCGCTCTTTGCGATCACATGGTTTGGTTTGTACCTAGTCATTTTCAAATATGGAAAAAAACAAAACAAATCCAACTCCTCCCTCTGGTGGTAGCAAAGAAGGTTTTGCCGTTTGTAATTGTTTCGCCATATATTTTCTTCTCAAGATATTATTTCTGTAAACAGTCTCTTCAAAGAGTATCATAATAGTTCCTAATATAACTACTAACCTGTAAAGTACAAGATTTCACACTGAGGACCCTGCAGCACTCACTCCTCTCGCTTTTTATATCTCGATTGATAAGATGAACGTGTGATCAAACGTATAACATGATTAAGGCTGGCTTTTAAACGCAGCTCAGTTCAAGCGCGCCGTCAGAATCGCCACCGGACACGACCTGAGTGACAACGTCCTGGACACAGTTTTCAAACTCTTCGACATGGACGGAGACAACTGCCTGAGCCATAAAGAGTTCATCGGAGTCATGACAGACCGGGTCCTGCGCGGTCTGAAGGTGAACTATCCCAGAGCGTTATTATTCCCAGCAGCTTTTGATAAAACCGGTTGGTGTCTGTCCTCAGGTCCAGCATCAGACGGGCATCTCCGGCTATTGGAAGTGTGTGAAGCAAGAGACACTAAAGGGGGCGAAGGAGGCACTTGGAAATGGCAGCTGCCCCATTTAACCTGTTTATTTAAAGTAACACATACTCTTTAAATACTTTGTACACAATAGCATTTTTCACAAATAAAAGTCCGAAATGCACTTATTTTCTTTGATGTTATGAGACGTACACATGCGTCAACAAAATCATGCTCACTACAGTGCTATAGGAATACTGGCTGTTTTACTACACATTAGTCTGAACTCAATTACAAAAAAACACTCAAAACCAATTTCAATACCACAGCGATTGGTTAGAAATGCTCATTTTGGACAGTGAAGCTGTAATGCAAAATAATTAAGTAATAATATGTGCTGTTTGCCATTTTATTGAGTATACACACTCACTCATTATGATAGCTTTGCCAACCCTAGGTGAAAATTGGACAATTAGAATGTTCTAAAGTGAGAATATGAGACCAATATGATATAGACTCATTACATGCAGTTACATGTGCCAGATGATCCATAGTTAATTATAACAGTTCTATATAATAGTTTCCTGGGATGTTTTATTTGCGGGTTTTTAATCCCAAGATCACGATTGGGAAACTCCTCCAAAGCTGGTGTAGAATGAGCATGTGAAGGACGTCGCGTGGTAGACTCTGGGGCGGAGGTAAGTTGTGGTGGATGTGACAATTCCAAGCGATGGTACCATCAGGAAAAAAGAGAACAAAAAGCTTAAGACATAGTGAGGGCTCAGAGAGGAGCTGGAGGGTAAAGGTGCAGGGACCCTGAAGCTGGAGAAATGTGCAGTGCAGGAACAGCAAAGATACTGCACAGAACCCTCAAGATCCCAGGCCTCTGGCAGAGGACCCGAGCTTAGAAAAATATGAATTTATATGTATCTATATTTATACACCATTTCTTCAAGTTTCACCTTTATTGTATGAACATTTGTTTGGCTACATCCTGTTTTGAACAGGATCAAATTCTTCATCGGGAGTTATAAACTAATAATGCCCCTCCTGATTTCATACCGGCATTTAGGTTTAGTAAATGAGTTAAGGACGAGTAAAACCAGCTTTGACTATTTTATTATAGAGCTGACGAAGTACGAACACGAGTGAAGTTACCATACATAGAATTGAAAAAGTAAATCAGATAAAGCAAGCTTACATCTGTGAACAAATTAGTGACAAATGCCAAGGATGACAGTAAATACAAGAGACACAGCTACAATACAGAAAGTACACTGAGCATGAAGCCTTCTTTGGTCTTCTCAAAAACTATCAAATGCATATAAATTTGTATTGTATCAAAAATAGAAATTACGGAGCCATATTGAAAGTAAATTCACATTTTTGATATATAATAAAGAGACAGACAATGGGGTTATAGCTCAAACCTTGACATTTAAGGACCTCATGGTTTTGACACATTGTGGACATTCATGTTTGTATTTTGTAATGAAGTGTGTTCTGTCAAACCCAGTCTGGTCTGTCAGTATGGGACAGTATGCAAACAAATAATAACCATGGTAACACAAAAAGAAAAGATTGTCATTCATACAAGAAGCATAATGTGCTTTTGATCCTGGGGTTTTTGAAACGACTCATGGAGAGGTCTGGGAAACATTCAGCTGATGCACCAGAAGAGCTGAGTGACTGGACCATGTTTCTGCAGCTGATCTCTGGACAGAGCACCTCATCACTGCAGCCAAAGCCCACCTCTGCTTGACGTTATGGGAAGTGCTTTTAGTTTTTGCTCCACTGTGAAGAGAGATTTTGGGAATTAGCACATGGTGAAGCACAGAGGAAGCGTGTAGCCAGTAACAGTAAGTCTACTGTTCTTACCATTAAAACACACGTCAAGGGTCACTCTCCTTCTTGACCGTCACATCTGCGTCAGCTGCCAGAATGGTGGAGATCTCTCCTTGCATGAAGGCCCAGGGCACGTTAGAGCCTACGAGGGGACAGCGCTCTCCACTGGGGCAATACACCTCGCTCCCCGGACCTTGGCTTCGGATAAATCCACGTGTACATGGGAAACAGAACTTGTGGTGTGGCACAGAGGGACACTGGACAAAGTGAGTGTCCTCCAGGCGCTCTCGACACAGGGTGCAGCAGAGCAGAACGGGCTGGGCCCCGCTGCTCGACTCGCCTGCTGTAGTGTTACTGGACGTCCCGGAGGCTGATCCTTGGCCCATGTTGGCTTGGGAGACAGACGTAGAGGCAGTGGAAGGGCTACTGCTGGGGGGGCGCCCCACAGTGGAGGTGTGCCCTACTGACATGTTGGGACTGTCCCGGGCTAGCTGATTGGAGCTCAGGCTGTCGGCTACTCCCATGAGAGCTGAGATAGGTGAAGGCTGGCTGTGAAGGCGAGGAGGGCCGTCAGGGGGATGAGTCTCCATGCCAGGGTAGCCTCCCCTAGGCCACGCCTCTCTGCCCACGTGCTCTGGTCTACCTTCACTCTCACCATTTTCTGAGCCCGGAGAAGCCTTGCGACGCCGACTGGTGCTTTTAGATGAAACAGGTCGTCCAGAGGCTGCCATGGAAAGAATGGGGTCTGGCTGAGGTAAAACTTCAGGGATAGGGGGCTCTTTGAACAGACGGACACCATCGTTTAGCAGCTCCGAGAAGCCGCGCCAGTCCCCGCTGTTGTGCCTCTTCTCATATTCCACATAACGCAGCCCAGAGTTCACCGCTTTACCAGCATCCTTTGAAGAATCTCGGAACATCTGCCTTACCAGGTCTGGCACCCCTGAAAACACCATGCCAGAGCCACAGGGGTACTCTATAAACACTCTGAGCTCAAACTCTGGAGTGGAACTAGAATCAAAGCCCAGGACCTTTCCCATTAGATTGTGGTCCTTCCTAAAGCGCACACTGAACGGGACACAGCTGTTGAGTGCTACAAGAACATCCCGCACTGCTTTGGGACGAGTGGGCCAGCCTTCCACACGATTACGAGCGATCTCATTAAGTTCAGCCATGACTTCATTGTTGCTCCACACTGCTGGGTATATACCCATGGCAGAGGTGCTGGCAGCCACCCCCAGGTGCGCATGCTGTCTTCTGGTTCCCTCTCCCATCATTGAACCTGCAGACACAGCTATAGGAGCAGCCCCAGATCTTGATAAAGGGGCTAAAATGCCATGAGGGGCTGCGACCAGACCCTGGGCTAGAAGAGCATGAGCAGGAAGAGACCCGTGTAGACTCTGCATTGTCCCAGCGATTGCCCTGCGTGTGTTTGGACTCTGACGGCTGCCTTCTGACAAAGCCACATCTTCTGCTCTATGGAGGCCGTTGGGCAGACGCGAAGATGTCCCATAATCAGCCCTGCCCCGGTCTGCGCGGTCCCCATGCTGCCTGCCCGCCTCCATGGCTCCAGCAGACGTGGGCTTGCCCTGTTGTGGACCGGGAGATCGTCCATCCAACACGCCATGTGAGCTTTTCAACTGTCTGGCCGTGTCGATCAGCAGCTCTATCCGGTCTGCTCCGTCGTAGTTGACACAGCCACGGCACACGGCCTCGCTGAACTCCCACAGCATGGCCCACGGCATCTTGGGCAGGTCGCAGAGGTAGCACCACTGCCTTCTGGAGGACTGCGCGGTGGAGGACATGTTGTAAACAGGGCCGCGACCAAACTTTCTTCCGAGGCCTTCACGCAAAACTGGTATTTTCCAACTATTCTCCGGAGCGTAGCCCACACTTACCACATGCTGCTGTGTTTATGGTCAGGAATTGGGCGAAATGAAGCCGTATACAGGAGTGTTGACAACCGCATTGGAAAGTTAACGAAGCCTTCTTTTCTGGTTTGTTCGTGTCGGTTTGTGTAGAAGGAAGTACAATGTTATTAGACACCGGAAACACCTACGCTACTGCGGGTCACGGGCATTATGGGATTTGTAGTTTTAGTCATGGTTGAAAGGCATTAGAATATTCAATTCAATTTATTCTTGTTTAGCCCTAAATCACAACAGTGGTCATCTGAGGATTTAGTAAAACCGTTGAAATCGCAAACACGGATCAAAGAATCAAATAGTTAAAATAAAAATACAGCACACATATGTACTGGTCCATAGGGAGAGAACAATGTCCATGAATGTTTATAATGTACATAATGTTGTAGAATGTTAGTGTCTTGGATCATCACCACAGTCTAACAAGGACCACCAACAGTCAAGACCCTCCTGCATCGGCAGGAAAACCCCAGTGGAAGAAAAGTGTAACAACGTGAATGTGTAAATACATCCTTGTTATAATGGTAGACACACACACACACACACACACACACACGACTATGTATAAAAACATGAATCATTGATTAGTTTAAACATTGATTTGTCATATCTAGTTTGTAGTACATGTATTTGATTATGCAGAATTATTGAGTTCTTGCATTTTATCAGTAGTACAGGAGGAAGGTTCAATCAATAGAATGGTCTGTTCAATGTACAATGCATTTATTCCATCTCAAAATTCTCCAGAGCAAGAGCAATGTCAGTGTCAATGCATGCAGACCATGTGGCCCTGTGCTACTCACATGTAGTGATCTGGATTATATTCATCTTCAGTTCCAAAGTGTGTTCAGACATGAGGTGATATCTTATTTAAAAACAAACCACAAATAAAAGCTTGTAAATGAAATTCTAATATAGGTAGTCTCTGGGCCATGCAACACCACCAATTAAGACTCAACTGAACATGAATGTAGCCACATGCCTTTTAGAGTTCCTTTATCCACTTTATTTTAAAACACTAAACTTGGGCGCACATGACATGTGTTACATGACACAATATTTCACTGATCTATTTAAAAAAAAAAAACACTTGTAATTATAATGAATGATATAAAACTTGGAAACACATTAAAGCATTGATAAACTGCAATATGGTGGAACCACCAATTTAACCTAACAAAACTCATACAGTAATGCAGTCAAAAGTCGGAAGAATTCTTTAGTTGGCGTGATGTGTGGTTGAGAAGCAGAGCTTCAGTGTAAAGGGGTAAGGTCCACCTAGGAAGAATATAACATTTTACATTTTTAAATGTAGCATGTAAAGCTTGAAATCTTAATTGTGGGTCAATGTAGCTTACTTGAATTTTTCATAAAATAATGATTCAGCAAAGCAAGCGCTTCCATGGCATCATTGATTGATTCCCACTCAAGCAAACCAGATGAACTCCTTTCACCTATTGTGGGGACAAAACAGTTTAATATGCAGTCTGAAGGTAACTGATACATTAATACTTACTTTTACCAGTAAAAACTTTCACGCTCGAGGGATTTTTCACTCCAAGCTCCTCACAGACCTGTAGGAAACAGCCATTAGAAACTGATAAAATGAAATCACAAAAGGACCTAAATGAATTTACCTGGGTGAAGAACTCCTCAGTAATATCTGGTGCTGCATTAAAAAAGTGCAGCACATTGCTGGGATGCTGAATGCGGTTTTTAGCCGCCTGCTCTGGAGACGTAAAGCGATTATTGCGTGAGCCATGGAAATCTTTGAAGCTGCTGGTGTTGTCTTCCAACTGATAGCATTGGCCGGGCACAATTGCTTGTTGCTTTGAGACGCTATTAAAAGAGGAAGGGTTATGAATGGATATTTTGGTTTGTGTGTCTGTGCCACAACATTATGTTAAGTCAGTACCAAACATTGAGCTTCTGTCCAAAAAGAAATGTGTTGTTCAGATGAGTGATGGCTCTGTCCACAGCATAGCAGTCACCCATCTCAACCATTGCTGCTCCAGGTTTACTCTTCATGAACTTAACCTACAACAGAGTCATTGGGAACATTGAGCTGGGGTTATAAGGCAGTTCACACTGTTGGGAACAAGAACCCAAACACAACTAATGATGACTTGTTTTTACACTGACTGGATAGTAACTGAGGGATAATAGGAATTAGGAACCAAGCACTGACATGTGTGAAACCCCTATAGACTGAAGAGAAGAGAGGCCTAAACGAGTGATGTCACTTGCTGGATCGTCTGCTAATTTGGATCCAATGTTTCATAGCAACCATCAGTTAGCTCAGCCTCTCTACATAACAGAATCTAGGGCTCGGTAGAGTGCTGTGTTCAAAGTGACTCACCCTTTCTACATTGCCATATAGACAAAATATGTTGAAAACTTTGTCCGCATTGATTTTAGCTGGTTCGAGGCCGTAAACCATGAGAACTGGAGATTCAGCATGGAGTCCGTACTCTGGGGGTGGGGGTCCATAACTGGGACCATAGCGTGGACTTCCACGGCCCCGGCCCCCTATGCCTGCCCCCATGCGGTGAGGAGGAGGGGGGCCATAGTTGTCATCACCGTAGCCATGATAACCACCTTGAGGACCTCCTGAAAAATTACATTTCAATGTTAACTAGAAATATAAGCCTAACAATTACAAAGACTTACCATAATCTGGTGGATGGTCTCCAAGAAGAGCTGGCTGCCTCTGGCGCTTGTTAGGGTTAGCATTGGGATCTAAACCGCAAATAAAAGCAACTATCAATACTATATTTGACTATTAAATAAGAAAAATATGATCTGCAACAGAAGGGGAGAACCCCATTTCGTCTACACTTGTGGAACATAATACTTGAGTAAACCTGTATGTCACCATTACTTTGTACACATTTTTGAGAAATCCCACAAACCTTGTGAATTGTTCCAATTGCCATCACCATCAGCATCTGTGCAGAGCAGTACACATACACATGTCAAAAACCAAACAAAACTTGCTACTGCTGTATTCACCGACACATTGAGTATAGTAGTGTTCAAAATGAATTGAATAAAGTTGAAATTGAAATATTGTTTTATGCATTGTGAACACATATATATGTATGTTTTAATTACTTAAAAGAAATAAAGAAAATACATAGACATTTAGCATGAACACAGTAATTGCCCTAAAAAGAGACCTGGAGAAACATGTAGAGGGCATGAATCCAAGGGCTGAAGACTCTAAAGACTGTAAAGCATGCATTATGAAATGGGGATGTTCCGTACTTTGATGATGGACAGTTTGAATTTAAAAAAAAAATACTTTGTTATGTTGCCCTATGCAAGGCAGAAGAGGAAATGCCCTTGAAACAGCCGTTTCAACAAAACAAAGCCCAAATGCAGGAGTAAGTGAGCCGAATCTCGATTCCAGACTAACTATATAAAGTAAAGTTCTGAGATGGCCAGTCCGTTCCCTTGACTATATAAGATGACTTGTGGGGTGACAAAAAAAAAAAAAAAAAAAAACACTGCTCTTTAGGTAAAACCCATTTTACAGGTGCCATAAAATGGGCGACTCGTCCAGCAACAACAGACATCAGTTCTTAGACACAGATTGTTCCAGGTTCAAGCTTGCCTGAAAGTGTTCAGAATTATGTATGTTGATAACTAACAGACCCTGGTGATAACTTCCCCCTGGCAGAGGTGAATGCCAAATAAAATGTTTTTAATCTGTATTAATTAAGTATTAATATATCCACAGCTGCTATTTTGAACATCTCTTTGCATTTACAATGCAGTTGATTATAACAAACTTTTTTTTTTTTAAAAAGGTACTCTGTATAATTTTTACAGTCTCAAAATGAAAAAAAAAACATGCTAACCAATAACAAATGTGACCTTTTTAAGAATATTTATCGCCACCACGTTTTTAAATTGTTATAGGCTTAGAAATTACCTTATAAATGTACATGAGAGGACTCTCCATGTCAATGTGCCATCTTGAACTACTTTGGTTGATAAGAGACAAAAAGGAGGTGCTTCTAATATTGAGGGTTCCACTGTGCCCTCACAAGTTTGAAGTAGGAACCATGGAGGACCACAGCTACGTAAAAGAATGACCCAAACAATAATCTTTCAGAAAAATTATGTAAAAATCTAGAAACCTGCATCATAACCGCAAACGTGTCAACATCGCAAACTACGCACAGCGAAAGGCAGAGTTAAAAACAATCGGAGGCACATTGTGTAGTTTTTAACACAACAAATGCACACGTAAACAATATGTAACTTTCATTACACCGACAGAAAACAGGGCAGAATCTACAACACAGGTCTAGGGATGTTCACAACACAGGTCCTGCCGCGGCTCTGTATGTCCTGCTTTTCTGATCATCGTAGTTTTAAGCTCCCGCAGACGTTATTCCTCCATGCGTCTCTTCTCTTCAAACGTTTGTAAAACTATATATTATAATAGATCCATGGTAAAACTCTGCGGGTGCTGCTTCAGAACGCGGTCTTGTTTACATGTCGCCTCCACGCGATCGTCAAGTCCCCGAGACGTTTGGAGAGATCTGGTCACTTATCAAATTAAAGTATTCTTTCCTTGGCAGTCTGGTGAATGACAGAGTTGGGGACAACTGTCAAAGACGACATATTGTCCATCAAAGGCTTCCATAGTACCCTGGACTGCAATATATGAACTCAACGCTAGATGGGAGTAAAAACTACACAGTGTACCTTTAAATCACAGAATTAACTTTGAAGCCAGCATGCACATAGCAGAAAATATTAGAGAACCAACAACCCATTCATTCAGAAGACAACTATTGGATGTGGCTGTGCATTTTTGTGTCATTTCAGAAATACTTACAGCACCACAAATGCAGTACGGGACACAGTGGGCAGGTAAGGGGCAGTCTTCTGCAAGGATGCCATCAGCCTTTTGACTGGATCTTCAACTCATTCTTGCTTCAAATCTGTATCATCACTACCAGGTGGCAAAGTCTGGCCACAAGCTCATACTGGCTTTTCATTTTCTTCTTGAGGTTTTCAAAGTTTCCATCTTACCATGTTCTGACATTTGCATCATTTAGAGAGTGGGCTGTCTGTCCACAGAAACACTGAACCTGCATCACACGGGAGGTGTTAAGGAATCACCATGGGCCAATGCAAAAAAGGGGAAAAATGAAACAAGAACAACACAAGAAAAGCAGAGAGTGGAGATGGAGAAAGGGGACAGGGAGAACAGAAGAGCAGAGTCCATAAAGAGGGAAGGTTTGGGGAAACATAACTGATCTGTTTGAGTCTGTGCTGTATGCTTGGCTTGTGTCTTCATTGGCCCCCCTGTGGATGTTTCTTCTTTGTGTAACAGTGGACTCTCGTGGACGTTGTGCTTGCATATTTGGTGCAAAGTGAAAAGGGCGACTAATGCACAAGAGTAAGACATCTGGAATATCTGCGTGTGGATGTGCAGTCTTGGCAGATCGTCTCTATACATGTAGAGTTTTCATGTTGTGTTCAGAACTGGAGACAGGCGGAGACTTGTATTTGTGTCCACGTGTTTGAAATGTTCTTTGTTGCTTCCTGTGGTTGTGTTAAGACAGTCACTTCTCAAAGGCTAGGAGCCAGGGTCACAATGACCACAACCAACTCCCACCTCTTCAATGTGTTGTGATTCCTCAGGCTCTGTGCTGATATAGAGGTGGTGGAAGGTTGCATTATTTTGTAAAAAGGTATGTTGTAAATGATGATGGTTGTTTGTCTTTGAAATGGCGCTATTGTCCAACAGTAAAATGTCTTTCCTTGTCACATGCTGGAGTGATTGATGATGCACTTGGATTACCCAGGTACTGAGTTGAGGATGTGTTCCAGTGTCTGCTGTCCCACTGTGTCCGATGTTTGACGAGATTTGGATTTGTTGTTGTTGTCGGTGCAGTTATGCAGTAGAACGCAGTAGAAAAAACTGTGTCTTTGACAGCATGTGCCTGCAAGTTGAGCTGTATATTTTGCAAAGTGAGGACACAAGGAGTACCAAGTTTCTAAGGCAGCCACAGCCATCAGTCACAAAAAAGTTACATTGTATAAAATAAAATGTATATATATATTGCATAAAATAAGCCATTTTGATTGTCTGATCAGATGTATATAAATGTTACTGAAGTTAAACTTAAGTAGAAGGTACATTTTGAATTTGTACCATCAGACTTACTGTACTATGTCAAACAGTTTAAGGGCGTTTTCACACGCATCATTGTGCCTCCTAATTCAGCCTGAGGGCACACTACATTTACTTCACACATGCAGTTTATGTACCCACTCATCACACTATAACCCACTTAAAAACAATCTGCCAACCAAACTAATCTCCATAACAATGCACCCCCCCGCCACACACACACACAAATAAATGCGGACAATCTTTGCCTAAAGTCAATGTGCACTGGTAAAAGTCTGAGAACAGGAAGAGGTAGTTTACAATTGGCCTATTCCTTTCAAACTAAAATGAGCTTATGTTGCGTCACACAAACATGTTTTTTGGCAATCAGCTGCAAACTTCCTTTGCTTCAATCTGTCACTCTTTAACAAAGCTCCATAACAGCTCTTTCAGGCGCTTGCAGAGTTTAGAGTGTCCTAAAATGCGGGCTCTCAAGTTGTGTTCACACTGCCCAGCCACACCACTCTCACGTCGACGGCTCCATTACACCAAGTTAACTAGTGGCAGTGTGAAAACGCCCTAAAAACGTAGTCCTATATCAAAGCCAAGAGTGTTTTCATTTACAATAGCAGTGCAGTGGGGTTGTGACATGCTCCATCTGGATGGTGGGCCTACATGTGATCGTAAGTTAGTGCATCAACTTAGATGCATTCACATGCATTACTATTATACTTAGATTGGCTGCAAGTAGCTCCTCCTGCCCTTACTTTGAGCATAACAACTGATTAGGAACATTGCCTCTGATGTCAAACTCCTGCTAAAAGAGCAGTGGATTACAGTAATAAATCTGGTATCAATGGCAATATTCCTTGCAGCGGTGAGCCCTACATCCCGTACTGTGTCATGAGAGAAGAGGAGAAGAAAAATGGGCTGTACAGGGGAGGTAACACATTACCTTGGCCACTCAGATTGGGGTTGGTGTAATCCCAAGTGTCCTGGTCATTCTTGAAGACATTGAGGCGTGTTGGCTATGGATAACAGCATTTTCATTGTTAGGAAAGGAACGGCTGTCTGATATGTTTATGACAGTAAAAAATCATGGTATTTGTTACCTTCGCATATTCAATCTTCAGAGTGCAACATCCAGAATAGATATCTGCCCCATTGAGAGAAGCTTTAGCCCTTTGAGCACTTTGAACAGAGTCAAATGTGCAAATTTTGTTAAGGAGAAATTATTGAATTATCGACTTAAAATATACATATATACACTTCCAGAATCTAAAAAAACAAGGATATTCCACCATGGCCTGTACACCATTCTTCCTGAAGATGACAATCCTTTGGACAGGGCCGCAGTTGTTACATATGGTGTATAGCACATCCTGTGGAAAACAACATTTGAGCCAAAAAGCAACATGAAAACATGTTGCATGTTAGAACAATTCAGATTCCTACCGTGGTGATTGGATAAATGGGGTTTATGATGGTGAGCAGCAACACATTGTTCACACTGCGAGTATCATCAGAGTCCCCTGGACGAGATATTTTCTGGCTGGTGGAATAGTTGATAAAAGCGGGATGACCTGCTATATACACCTGGTTCTCTGCGGCATACGTGACTGCGTTACAGGAGCCATTCATGTCCTCAAATTCGACCAAAGCCTGGCGCTTCTTGGGCATCATAACAGCAAAACTGAAGATATAGCAGATTATGAATTAAAATAGTTGAAATGTTTTACTTTGTATGCAGGAACAAAATGTATGTAATACTGCTGATATCAGGAAAGATGGGAAAGGTTTTCTTTCTTATCCATTTTAATTAAGGTATAGATTTGGTTCCATAAGAACATGTGTACTGCATTTGACCCATCCTGCAAAGATCCCACTTGGGCAACCTGCCAGGAGCAGTGGCCAGGTCAGAACTATCTTAGGACCTACTTTAAGGAGTTGTACAAAGTCCAGTTTATATCTCATTAATTTTCGTTTAATGTAGAAACATTCTTGTCTTGTTAAATTGAAATAGGGGTAGGAGCAAAGTAAAGCTAGATCAAATCTGCAAGTAACATTTGTAACTCGCTCCAGTAACTATCAGTCTACTGCACTTTAATAACGACTGAGTCACTCCCATGCCCACATAAGCTTTACCTAATGGCGCCGTACTCCTGGAGGGTTTCAACAAGGTCCGCCTCCATGACCCCGTCTGCGAGCCCCCTGATGTGGACCACAGCGGAGGGCAGAGGTTTGTGGGGGTCATCGTAGCCCTCCTGTAACAGACAGGCCACTGCTGTAACGAACAGAACTTGCAACGCGCTCGTCAATGATACATAACTCACAAACATACTATAAAACACAACAACCTCAACGGGGAACCGATAAACATTTAACAACAGATATTCGTAATAGCTATAATAATAAGGAGAAGCCCACAACCGCAGGCTAGTTGGCTAAGACAATGCTATCACTGCTAACACTAGCTAACGGTGCCTAGCCTGCCGTGCTACTTTTCATTATTGAAAATGTTAAAAGCCTCCGGTGAATTTTTATAACAACAATAAAAACATGTCCCTTTCAGTACACGGAGGCGGTGCAGATCTCACCGTTGTCATTCCTCCTTCGTCTGTTTTCTGTCGTTTGGTCGCTCTGCCTCCGTCCCCGTAGTGTCGGCCTGCAGCGGCGGCCATGTTGTTGTCCTGAGCAGAACCACTCTGCTCCTCTGCTGCGCTCATGGTACTTCGCTATTTCACACTGCGCATGCGTGTCCCACAGGTCAGTCAGCTGACCTATGACAAAGTTTCTATCTACTGCTTTTACAGCAGGGTTGCAACCAAAGACTGTTGCAACTATTATGTTCTAAATAACAACTACTATTTAAGTTTAAGCTAATTTGTATCAGAAAAACGTACTTTATGTTTCTATAGCCTATAATATATAATACTTTCTTTGTCTATTTCTTATTCAATCCAATCAGTTTACTCATTTTGTTCAAAAATATGAAGTTATGTAGTAGATTTACATATTGAGAATACTATCACACTACTTTTATCCTTATAAAAAGTGATGCAGTGTTACACTGAAGTGATGGAAGTGATGCTGCAGTCTGTTCCATCGGCCCCTCCGCCCACCACCACCACATTAATACATGCTGCATGTTTTTGGGTATGGACTAAGCCAACATAATCATCAAAGGCCACCAGCTAATTGAACACATGTAAGTGAACACTTTTGTCTAGGACTGTATATGACTTTGGTAATGAACAAAAACTCATACAAATCAAAGTATCCACGAATGAAAACAACTATTTGAAGTATTCTAAAATACGCAGGTCCAGACCTCATGGACAAATATACTGCATAAGACCATGTTCATTTGCAGAAAAAAAATATCCCACTTCTCAGCACCCAGAATCCAGCATATGTCCTGTCCATGGAAACCATGGATGTATTATAAGAACGGCGGGAACATGGAGAAGCAAGCAATGTTAGGTCTAATCTGTGGACTGCTGAGAGCCTTGGATGTTTTGTAAAATATTATAACATGAATAAAAAACAAAAGTAGCAACAACTATTTATACATTAGAAAGAGAAAAAAAATCACAATTATTTTCAAATGGAGTCACGAGGCCACAGCTCTAATATCTCTATTATTGGATCCTTCTAATTTTTGACAAGATTAAATTAATGATATTTAAAGATAAATATTAAATTAGATTAAATAGATAAAATATAATGATAAAAATAATAGTGATAAATTCTTTACATGTCTAAGATCCTCCAAACGTCACACTGTATTTACTGGATTAAATATACATGATATTTAAAAACTGGCACAGTTCATCATATTAATTTATTTTAAAAAATGACATTCAGATTTAATGACTTTAGGCCATAGTGTAATTGTATGTGATCATCATGATATACTTATGTACTTTCCTCCAAACAACAGGGTCGACTATCTTTATTTTTAATAGGGGCACTGGGAATCTGCCTGATTCATTACAGTTGAGTTGTTTTTTGTATTTGTAAATTTACAAAAAGTAGAGAGAGAGTTATGCAAAACAAGACACAATAAGCTTTTGATTGTATTCATACATCACAGCTTTGACTGTTCACACTGCATGTATTTAAGAAAGAATACACATGCGATACATATTCTAATGACTGTAAAAGTCATTTACAATCTGATCTGTGAGGTAAACACTGAGATGAAGTCACCTTTTATATCACTTATAGCTAAATATAAAAGATTTTTGACATACATTGTCACGGTGCAGATATAATTTAGTCTTTATAGTTCTGATGTCCCTAAATCAAGGACATGATATTTCTGTATGAATACGAAGCAAAGGAAGGTTTCTCACCCATCATCTGTACTTCTTAGCAAGTTTTCCCGACGTTTCGTCCTCAACCTAGCGGACTTCTTCAGGGAATGAATTCTCGGACCGCGCGTTGGAGATTTATAACCTATGGGTGTGGTTAGCCACACCCTAATCCTGATACTAACTCATAAACAATCTACGGTCTGCTTGATGTAGAAGGGAGCAGGTCTAACGACCCTGCTGAGGCTAACGACCCTAACTCCTTAGCATGTCACAGACCTATTGTCTGCTGGGATGCTCAAGTGGAGTGCAGGTCTCACCCCTCCTAACTCATTAGCATGTCACTGACCTTGTCCCAAGTTAGGGCGTTGTTTTTAGGATGTCGTCATAGATGCGAGGCAAAACAAATCTTAACCCTCCTCCTCTGTTAAGAGAAGGTTTTTGTTTCCTCACAAAAATGGCTTCTTTCACTCCTCTCTCAAACCAATTCTTCTCCCGAGCCAGAATTTTAACCTCTGTGTCATCCACCGTGTGGTTGGAGGCCTTGAGGTGGAGATGAACAGCCGACTGTGGCCCACTAGAGTTTTCTCTACGATGTTGGTAAAGTCGTTTCTGTAGAGTTTGTTTGGTTTCTCCAATATAGTGGTCCGTGCACTCCTCTTCACTACATTTAATTGAATACACCACATTGCTCTGTTTGTGTCTCGGTGTTTTGTCTTTGGGATGCACTAATTTCTGTCTTAACGTGTTGAAAGGTTTGAAATACACAGGGATTTTGTGTTGCCTAAAGATTCTTTTTAGTTTCTCTGAAACTCCCGCCACATACGGTAAGGACACGCCTCTCCTCCTACTTTCTTCTGTCTGTTGGACTGTGTCTCTGGCCTTTCTCGTCCTTTGGGCTTTAGTAAAAGACCACTTGGGGTAGCCACATCTGGAAAGTGCTCTCTGAACATGTTTGGTTTCTCTGTTCTTTCCCTCCGAGCTTGTGGGGACCTGGTGGGCTCGGTGTTGAAGCGTTCTAATGACCCCGAGTTTGTGAATCTGTCTAAAGAAGGTGCCTCTAAATTGGAAATACGTGGTGTTAAGACACATTTCAAGTATTTCACAGATGTGGTCAGCTGTTAGTTTCGTTCTCTCCCCTAGTGTGGCGTCTTTCTGTAGGCTTTCTCTTACAGCCTGCACCGCCTCTGTAATAGGGACCGACGTAAAAAGCGATGTCACATCAAACGAGACCATTGTCTCATCTGTGTCAAACTGGAGGTGTTTGATTTTATTTACAAATTCTTTTGTGTTTTCTATGTGATGGTGGGTGTTACCCACCAAAGGAGCCAGAATGGTTTTGAGGTGTTTAGCCAGGTTGTAGGTGATAGAGTCTATGCTACATACAATAGGCCGAAGTGGAAAGTTTTGTTTGTGTATTTTTGGGAGTCCATAAATACTGGGAATGGTGTCTCCTGGGTAAAGTTTGTAATATAGTGGTTTTTCAATAATGCCCTCTTTCACTAAGCTCTGAAGGAAGTCTATAATCTTTTTCCTAAACCCACTGGTAGGGTCCCTCTTCAATGGCTGGTACGTGTTGGTGTCTAAGAGTAACTGATTAACTTTGGCCTCATAGTCTGAGCTGTTGAGGATAACTGTGCATCTGCCTTTGTCAGCTGGTAAAATAGTTATACTCTCATCCTTTTGTAATGCCATTAATGCTTTTTGCTCATCTAATGAGGACATTGGATTGTGGGGGCTTCGCACTTTTGAGTGTTGCAGAGACTCTCAGTCTGAGGGCCCCTGCCTCACTCTCAGTTAGTTTGTTGTTTCTAATGGCTGCTTCTGCTGCTGTGATGTATTCAATTGTAGGAATGTCTTTTGGGGTTATTGCAAAATTTAGGCCTTTAGTAAGAACATCTTTTTCCGCTTGTGATAAATGCCGATCAGACAGATTTTTGACCCAATTCTCCCTGTCCAAGCCTTGTCCAATTTCACTTTTAGAATGTTGAAAAGAATTATGGTTTTGGAGTTTTAGAAATTTGCCTATCTGACGTTCTTTGGCCTTCTTGTGATGGTTCAGTTGGGCAGTTTCCGTAAACGTCCAAATCCTCTGAAAAAACTCTGGTGAGACTGCCAATTCCAGTTTGTGCTTAAGGCACTCTATCTCGTCCTTTAGGTTTATAATCTCTATGTTAAGCTTTAGACAGATTCATGGCTGTGCGATGGGCTCCCCAGTCTCTCCTATAGTGGCCAATCTGTATATGGAGAAACTGGAGGAACAAGCCCTTGTCTCTTACCAAGGGACAGCGCCAAGCCATTGGTTTCGATATGTAGACGATACATGGGTTAAGTTAAAGAAACAGGAAGTGGAACCATTTTCAGAACACATTAATTCGGTGGACCCTTTTATAAATTTCACTCGCGAGGATGCTAAGGAGAGTGAACTCGCCTTTCTAGATTGTAAGGTCATCATACTGGAGAACGGACAATTAGAGACTGAGGTCTTCAGAAAGTCCACTCACACTGACCAGTACCTGGCCTTTGACTCAAATCATCCGCTACAACACAAACTCGGGGTCATTAGAACGCTTCAACACCGAGCCCACCAGGTCCCCACAAGCTCGGAGGGAAAGAACAGAGAAACCAAACATGTTCAGAGAGCACTTTCCAGATGTGGCTACCCCAAGTGGTCTTTTACTAAAGCCCAAAGGACGAGAAAGGCCAGAGACACAGTCCAACAGACAGAAGAAAGTAGGAGGAGAGGCGTGTCCTTACCGTATGTGGCGGGAGTTTCAGAGAAACTACAAAGAATCTTTAGGCAACACAAAATCCCTGTGTATTTCAAACCTTTCAACACGTTCAGACAGAAATTAGTGCATCCCAAAGACAAAACACCGAGACACAAACAGAGCAATGTGGTGTATTCAATTAAATGTAGTGAAGAGGAGTGCACGGACCACTATATTGGAGAAACCAAACAAACTCTACAGAAACGACTTTACCAACATCGTAGAGAAAACTCTAGTGGGCCACAGTCGGCTGTTCATCTCCACCTCAAGGCCTCCAACCACACGGTGGATGACACAGAGGTTAAAATTCTGGCTCGGGAGAAGAATTGGTTTGAGAGAGGAGTGAAAGAAGCCATTTTTGTGAGGAAACAAAAACCTTCTCTTAACAGAGGAGGAGGGTTAAGATTTGTTTTGCCTCGCATCTATGACGACATCCTAAAAACAACGCCCTAACTTGGGACAAGGTCAGTGACATGCTAATGAGTTAGGAGGGGTGAAACCTGCACTCCACTTGAGCATCCCAGCAGACAATAGGTCTGTGACATGCTAAGGAGTTAGGGTCGTTAGCCTCAGCAGGGTCGTTAGACCTGCTCCCTTCTACATCAAGCAGACCGTAGATTGTTTATGAGTTAGTATCAGGATTAGGGTGTGGCTAACCACACCCATAGGTTATAAATCTCCAACGCGCGGTCCGAGAATTCATTCCCTGAAGAAGTCCGCTAGGTTGAGGACGAAACGTCGGGAAAACTTGCTAAGAAGTACAGATGATGGGTGAGAAACCTTCCTTTGCTTTGACTAATCCCTGTACGACTGAGAGCTTACACAAAATACTGAAAATATTCTCTTCTGCCTGAAGTAAGAGCTAGGAAAGGCACGGTGGTGATAATCATAACTATATGTAATGTATACTAGAAAGTGCTATCATCTCAAAACAACATTGTGTAGAATTGGAGACATGTGCTTTCCTCCTTTCCACAAGTTGTATAATAATACTTAATGATATGAGAATTTAATGAGGTGCTGTTGGGGCCTCTTGTGTTCTGTCTGTCCTCTGCATGGCTGGATCTTCTGTCGTCCTTGCTGGGGGAAACTGATCATTGTTGCAGACTTCCCCTAACCCATTATTCTTCAAAGCTCAATAATTGTATCCATTAAAAAAATAAAAAAGTAAATTATGTACATGAGGTGGGAGTCTATAGGTTTTTCTTTCTCCCACTCCATTTAGAGCATGTAATTGTATTGTAAATATATCAACATATGGGGAATGCTGTTAAATATTGCTGATGTATATATCTATGCATTTGTGTATTATATGTAAGAATAGATTGAAAGAATGATTAAGTGAATAAATTAATAAATGAATAACCCTGTCACTTTTACCAGGAGATTCAAATTAATACTCATCATTTATAAATAGTAAAACATGTGTATGGGTTTTGCGTAATTGGCCACATGTATTATTAAGTATACAAAAGTACGAGGAAAACATTTTTGAAAGTATAGTAAAATAATCATCCCAATAGAATCTCAACTTTTAAAATCTGAACTGTACCAAGCCCCTGTATTCATGATAGTGTTAGTGGTTAGTCATACTGCCAACTGTGACACAGTAGCATTTCAAAAATTAACTGGACAGAAGTATAAAACATTACATTCTCCACATGACCCGCCCCAAGAGCAGGCATAAGTGTCTCTTTAAAAACCATGGCATCATTTGAAGTTTAAAATGTGTTCTTCCCCAACAGGTAGGCAGGTCCAATAGATGCCTCGTATTTGTCTCAGTAACTGTAGGCAGTTAGAGTACTTTTCTCAACCATCTTTACTCAGAAGCCTTGAATATGGCAGTAGGCCTCCAAGCTGGAGAAGAGAACGTACAGGAACCACAATCCAAACAACAGTAGTGTTGTAAGGGCCCTGGAAATCTTGGGTCCTCCTAGTTCGCCACCCACAGATGGCCTTCGGCGTAGCATCAACAATCCCATAGTGATAAAGGCAAAAATAGTAAATAATGTGACCGAAAAGGCAAGCGAGCCAGGGTCCACATGAAAGGTCTGTCCTTTGATACTCCAGTACACTGCTGCTATCGACCAGGCCACTCCGATTCCCAAAAACACATTCACTGCATTGCTTCCTGTCACGTTTCCCACTGATGCATCTGCATACTGGTCTTGTGTGGCAGCCACTTTACTGGCAAATGTATCTAGGAGAAAGAACTCTTAAATGATACTGTTTTGTATGTCTGATATTTCCAAACAGTAGTAACTCACCTGGGAGTGAGGTCCCCAAAGCAACAAACACCACTGCAGTGACGGTGTCGCGGAGGCCTACGGTACAACCAAAGTGGGAGGCCAAGTCTCCAATAATGGCTGTTAGTAATCCAATCACACTGATGGACACAATAAAGCATGCCCAGCCATTCCAGTATTCAGTTGGAGGAACAAAAGCAAAAAGAATCTTCCAAAAGACGCACAAAATGTGCATAAAATAATCGAAGCAGGATGGCGAACGCGGCTCCTCACCTTCATCTTCATCCCCTGGGAACAGAACATTATTAAACATGACTTTTCTAAAAACATAGAAGAGTAAGGAAGCATAATACCAACCTGCACTGACAGTTACTGCTTCAATGAACTGCTCTCTCCAGGAATGTGTCCCAAGCACCTGTGCTAAGTTAGTGTCTTTTATTAGTTTATCCACAGTACTCTGTTGAAACAAAAAAGTATACTTTAGTATCACATACAATACTTACCCGCGATACATCAATCTAAATAAATTGTAACGGTTCATATACTTTAATTAATTCTACAACAATCATGTCTTATTGGACTTCAGAGCATTCAGAGTGAGGTGTAATGTGGGAGTGGCAGCAGACTGTGCATGCACACAGCATTCCAAACACTGTACCTGGTCTATCACTCCGTTTGGAGTCTGGTGTGCATAAAGAAGCACAATGATTACACATAGATATAAACATTGTATACACTGTATTTGAGGCCAAAAACAATCACACAATTAGAATGTTGTAAACAGTACACATACCTTAAACTCACAAGATTCCTCAATGATTATTTCAAGCCTGCTGTGCTCTCCTAAAATGGGTTTTCCCATCTCTGAGATCCTCCTGGCTTCCTCCTCTTGTGGGGTTGGGGTTCCTGTCAAAAGTGAGTAAGTAATCTTTATTAATATAAAGCCTTTCACAGACCAGAGTCACAAAGCAGTTTACAATTGTTATTTTTGGGCATTTGTCTCTCACTCCACACAGAGATGGGAGCGGGGTCGCCAGTACAGGGGGCGCATGCCAGACCTATTGTACATGGTTTTTAGTGGTAGGGGAAACCGGAGCACCCGGAGGAAACCTACGTAACATGCAAACTCCACTCAGAAAGGCCATGATCCGATCGGGATTCGAACACAGGACCTTCTTGCTGAGAGGCGAGAGTGCTATCCACTCAGCCACCGTGCCGCCCATTTTAATATATTCTGTAAATCTTGTTAACTAAATACAAAATGTTATTTGCAAGACATCATGCTCATGTAGTAAAGCAACTAAAGGGTTCTTTTTAAATACATGCATCATGTACTCTCTTTTGAGTATATTTAGAGCATTTATCAACCAAAAGTACAAACAAGCAAAAATAGAAAAGAAAAGTTTGCAGTAAAACCAAATACAGAACCAAAGAGAACCAATGTTTCTTTACTTAACACGCAGGAAATGCTAGTTTTAGGATAAGACATTGAAGCTACAGCCAGCAATCAATGTGTGTTAGTGAAATCAGAGGTTGCACACATTCTTACCCTGGTTCAGCAGTAAGGCTGCGAATAAATACAAGTATTAATTATACATATTGGAATAAGAGCTGGAGATGCAAGTATTGACAGTTCTACTTAGAACCTTACTTAAATTGATAAGTTTTAAGATAGAAAACACAATGAAATGTGAAGTTGGAAATTGGGAGATTTATTATGCAACATTGACATTTTGAGCTTTTAACCAATTACATCGTTTCCACATCACAAACAGACATGAAGGGTTTATGTAAATCCCTTCCACATGAACTTCTGGCACACATATGTCACCGCTCTCTAAAAGCTCCAGTTATAGTAAGGCGTCATTGTACCATTATAACTATGTATTTAAAACAACAGTATTGGCCACACATTTGTTTTGGCAATATCTAAGGTGAACTGACATTCTTTACATGGCTGTGTTTGCAGCTAGTAATTGTTGTGGGGACATTGCCACAATAACAAAGAATTTTTACTTTAAGTCACAGGGCCTCGGACCTTTTCCTCTTTGTTTTTCCACGGATCCTTGAAGAGCACCTGACTCCTCACGTTTACCCAACATTTGCTGATCCTTTAACATATCTTTATTACGAGGAATAGCCTCTTGAGATGCATCATCTCGTTTTCAGGAGGGTCCTCAAAAATAGCAACACAAGTAGCAGCAGCGGTTGTCAAATAAATGCAGTTACAGTAAAGTGTAACAAATAAAAAACATAACAAATTACAGTAAATAAATTCAATAAAATAACAGACAAAAAAACTAAAACAATACAAGGACAGAAACATTCGCTCACACACACAGAGCTGTCAGAGGTCAGAGGTCACCCTACTCCTCAAACTAGGACAGTGAAAACCAAAGGATATAATATTTAAAAGAAAGTTCAGTAGCAGTTACAAACATTACACAGATGCCTTTGTACAGCAACTTTAAAAAGAGAAAAAGAAGTTAAAGTGGACATATCGTGTTTTCAAATAATTGATTTTTACATCTAAATCATTAATTTGTGGCCTATATAAAGCGTAACTGCAATGCCTGGGTCTGAGTCTCATTATTTGTAGCTCCACGGGCCTTTCTTCTACACCTGTTCTGAGGTGCGTCTGAGAGCAACCTGTTTTGGTGCTGTCTCTTTAAATGCAAATGAGGCGCTTTTGACCACGCCCCCATCCAGGTGACACAGGTTCAACTCCACCCCGAGCGGCCATTTTTGTAGTTACTAAGCACAGATACAATTATCTCATAGAAACTTCTCATTACATCGCAAACATGAAGCAGGCCTTCCTCATTGACTGAAAGCAAATGTTAATTTTCATTCTTAGTCCAGTCTTATTATCGACTCTTCTCTTTTTAGCTTTGGGATCCATGCGCACAGTCAAGGCAAGGAAAGGAAAGTTATTTATATAGCACAATTCATACACAAGGCAATTCAAAGTGCTGAACAAAATATGAAAGCATTAAAATCATAAATAATCACAGAACATTAAAAAGAAAGATAAAAATATAAATCCCTCAGTTGCATACACAGCTAAACAGAACGGTTTTTAACCTGGTTTTAAACATTGTCAGAGAGGAGGCCTGTCTCACATCTTCAGGAAGACTGTTCCAGATTTTAGCAGCATGAATCTGAAAAGCAGCCTCCCCATGTTTAGTCCTGACTCTGGGCACTAACAGGAGTCCAGTCCCTGTGCTCCTCAGAGTCCCAGCAGGAGTCCAGTCCCTGTGCTCCTCAGAGTCCAGGCTGGTTCGTATGGTACTAACATGTCACTAATATATTTTGGAGCGAGGCCATGGAGAGACTTGTACACAAGCAGAGCTCACATGCCGGTTTGTTTACAACAGCGGCCGCCTGGCGCGGGCCTACGTTGCAGGATAAGACGCACTACGTTGACAGAAATGTTTAAATTGAATATTACTTATGCACAATTTTACAGCATTTAAAAACGTTAAGAACGTTTTTCCTTCTACAGAAGGAAAAAGACGCATGCACCTCCGGAGCCGCAGGTTGCCGACTCCTAGTTTATACAGTATGTGGAAGCAAATACTGTAGAGGATCAGGATATGCGCAGTTTCAACAATAAAATAAAATGCAATAGTCTACATTACAAGAGAGTAATAAACATGTCTCAGAGTGAGGGAGGTGGACACAGACAACACTATTGTTTGTTACAGGGATGAGAATTGGTCAAAAAAGACTGAAATGCATATTGTCAGCCATTAGCTGGCTCTAAATCTGTTTAATTTGTTCACAACATATTACTTTTGGGCTCAAACATGAACTTTTAATGCAATGCAAAATTTAGGTATCAGAGCTTTATTTAGGGCGTTTAATCGCGCTTCGAGAGGAATGGGAGACGTGGACAGTTTCTTGCAGCAGTGTATTTATTGGGTGCACAGATTACTCGGAGACACGCATGGTCCTGTGCGCGTTTATGGGGTTGGGTACATGGCAGGCTGCGCGCTCAGCCACAACACGGTGGAGCGGCTGCGAGCGGCTGGACGCTCACAGCCTCTCGCAGCCGCATTACAAAGCGGCCGCAGATGCCCCGCAACACTACGGCCGCTGAGGTGGCGGAATCCCGTTCGAGTACAGCAGGTGCCCCGCGGATACGGGCGCCCCGCTCGAACAATTCTCAACGGATTTACACTTCTCACAAACATGTGTTTTGTATGAGGCAGACAGACCGGCCCAAATATGGGCATCGGCCCTTTGGGCATTGCCCGGTACGCCCGATGGCCAGTCCAGCCTTGTTCGCTGGCATCCTTGAGCTTGGACTACAAATTCGAAGTGATGAACAGTAGAGGAGGGCTGGGCCGAAGTGTTTTGTTAGACGCCCATGCCCTTATATAGCAGTCTCGCTGCAAATACTGTGACGTAATAATTCTAAACACGTAATAGAGAACGGCAAAATCAGAACGGGTTGAAAAATCTTACCTAAACAGAATATGAAGTGTTCTCTGCAACCCATGAAGAGACTGATTTCAACTTTTTTGCACTTCTAGAGACTCCAACTACACAACATAAGGCATTTAAGACACAAAAAGTGGATTTTTCATGATATGTCCCCTTTAAAGAGCGAATAGAGGCCGGAAGGAGATTCCAGTCGTTTGGGGCTTTATATTGGAAAGCATATTTGCCAAGTTCTTTCTTCACACGAGGAGTGTGAAAGAAAAGCTGGTTTGTGTGACGAAGATTATAAGAGGAATTAAAAGGGGTTAAATATTGCTTTAAATAAAGAGGATAATCCAAAAAATAACATTTATAAATGAAAAACAACCAGTGAGAGGGATGTCTTTGGGACAGACAGAGCCAGGACAGCTGCTGGTACATGTCACAGTCATGGGTCCTGTAGGGGCAGCGCAGAATGAACCTGCACAGGCTGTTGTAGGCAGTGTTCAGAGGATGGAGAGAAGTGGAGGTGGTATTTTTATAAACTATGTCTGCATAGTCTAATATGGGAAGTAGTAGTTGTGAAATAATCCTTTTCCGTGCAGATAAATTAAAGCGGTCAATGGATTGATAAAGTGTTTTCAGTGAATAGTTAATTTTGTGTACAGTTTTGTGAATATGGGTATTGAAAGAAAGATTTGAGTCTAGCCAAAGACCAAGATACTTAAGGTTGTCCACACATTTGACTGGGGACAGATCTAGAAAGTGGAGATTTAAATCGGGGAGAGGTTTATTGGTCTTCTTGAAAAGCATGGAGTAGGATTTGGTTTTCTTGAGCAGAAGTTTGTTAGAAAGGAGCCAGTGTTGAACAATGTCAAAGTTGTGTTGTAAAGAGTTGCAGATGTCAGGGATAATAGAATTGGAACAGTAAATAACAGTGTCATCAGCATAAAGTTCAATAGTGCAGTTGGAACAGATAGTCGGGAGATCTTTAATAAAGATAGAGAAGAGGACCAAGTGAGGAGCCTTGTGGAATGCCTTTTTCAATGACTGTGAAGTTGGACTGGCTGCCCCCAAAGGAAACACACTGGCGACGAGAGTGCAGGTAGGAGTTGAACCAGAGAAGTGCTGGTCTGGAGAGGCCAATGCTGTGGAGTTTGTCCAAAAGTAAATAATGGTCAACCAAGTCAAAAGCTTTCGTCAAATCAAGAAATAATGCACCAGTGAACATACTTTTGTCAAAACTAGAAAACACATCATTTGTAAATTTCAGGAGGGCAGTAGTTGTACTGAAATGCTTTCTAAATCCTGATTGAGATTGGGATAATAGGTTGTTATTGGTGAGATAGGTTGAAAGTTGAATAAAAATTAATTTCTCAAATATTTCATCTGCCGCTTTTTCAGACTGAGGACATTTTATTTTCTATGTAACTGGCGTCACAGTAGAATGGTCAAAAAAGAGGCTGATTTTGTCGTTTAAAATGTCACCAAAAATATATTTGACAATCTTTCCTTTTGATTTTATCCACACTATCTCTTTGATGTGTCTGTGTTTGAAATCTTTTTTCCAATCTATGATAGTAATTTTAGTTTTTAAGTTATAACCTTTTAAAGTCGAGATACTTCAATTGACACTTAACTGTGAACACACTCATATCCACACGAAGACAAAACGCTTATAATTTCAGAAACTTTTTCTGTAAACACGGAGTGTCATTATTTTCTGAGTGCGGCGCATGCGTGCTTTAACAAGAGGCGGGGCGATGACGCAAGCGTCTCAGATACATTGCGGAGAGGCAGTAACCACGGAGCGGCATATACGGAGTTTTGAAATCTTTCCACTCTGGGACCTACTTTCAAAAATGTTCGTTTACACCCCCCCAAAACGCCGGCCTCGTATGGACGATACACTGGATTGATAAAGTATTTTTGCGTTTAGGCCTGAGCTTGACTTCATGTGGACAGGGCCTGACCTCTGCTGCGTCAGCCATCTTGAAAGATGTCCATGTTTGCACTCATTCCTCTTGTATTTTCTCTTTTTAATAATTCGTCATATCCTTCTTCAACAAACCCGTAAGAAAGTACCAATATGCAGCTCTTTCATGTCGTTTCTCACCCACTGCTTCACAATATAACAATATG